ATCCCATATTAAATGTATTAAATTTTTTTTTAAATAAATCTTTAATCAATCAGCTTTCTAATGAGCCATTGTACATGTGATATGACGCAGTAATTTTTGAATTATTAACACGTGAAATTGTCCAAAGACTTTTTTACTGCACTGTAAAAGTTTCATGTAGCAACGATCCACGATTTTATGTTACAATTATTTTTTACATAATTATAACATAATTATATACATCGTTTCTACATATAAATCCTTCCGCTTTTAATAAGTAAATGTCAAAAACGGTACAAAGTAACCTCAAAGGTAAAATTTAATTGCATCTTCTATAAGAAGTTTAGACTTATATCATCAAATTGAGTGAACAATTGTCATTTTAAAATTTTTCGCTCGTTCGAACTTTAACCGCCAATAGTTCTCCTAATTTTGATATTGATATTATATATCTATCTTTTTTAATATAATACGTAAAACATTCTCTTATCTTTCAGGTTACTTAGTACTATTTTTGACATTTACTTATCAAAATAAAAAGTTTTATATGTAGCAACTATTATTTCCGATTCTTGTATTGTTATAAACCAATATTAAATACGAATAAGTACAGATATCCAGAATATATCCGGATCCGTAATCCGTTTTTATTTCGGATAAATCCTTTTTAGAATTTTTTAAAGCAAGAACTTGTTTCTAAAATAAACAAATCCGGATATATTCGGATAAATTCGGTTATTCTCGCACCACTAACTGGTTTCGGTGCAATAATATATAAACCAAAATATTATAGTTCGAGGTGATTTTGATAATTATCGGTTTAGCAGTAAAACCGGACCGTTTAGAGATTTAAATATTGTATTAAATTTTCCCAAAGTTGTTTACTAAGAATTTTCTTGTAAGGCTTTACTTTTTTTCAAGATATCATCACCAGGAATGTGTAAATATCAAATCATTATTTTAGAGTAGTTTTCAAAGTCAATTGGTCAATTCTTCAAAGTTTGTAAAGAAGGATTTTGAGAAATTCGCATTTGATTGTATATTCCCAGATTTTACTTTCATCTTGCTTGAGAAAGCAGATTCTTGAAGAGATATAAAATCTTCGGCATCGAAATAATATTGAGATACTTTACAACATCATTGGAAAAAAAAAAAATTCCAAATCTTTGAAGTTGTTATTAAAAAAAAATTGAATGATAAATAAGGGAAAAGTGTATTTTCAACCAAGATTAGTTTCAATAATTCCTCAAGTTCAAATTAACTGTTAACATCAAGTCAAAAATAAATCTAGTTTCAACAACATCCCCAAAACCAACAATGCCACCATAAATCTATAATTATTAAATATAATTTTTTAATTATGACTGAACTGACTTTAGAATAATATCAAAAACTTGAGCAGAAATGTCTGGTTTAATAATTGTCTTGGAATTAGGTTAATAGTATCAAATTTTTTACGAAAATAAAGTGAGCGACATTTAAGTACTTAGAGTGTGCAGTAAAATTTTTCTTTATCTGACTTCAATGATTACTATTTTCATTTTTTTTTGTGGTAAGCAAAATACGAAAAGTTGATGTAATTTAAATATTTGTTTCTTGTTACACTCTCAAATTTTATTTGACATTAAGTAATTTATTAAAGAAAAAGTTTCCTTTTTCTCGAAAAGGGAATAAATACATCAACTAATTTAATATTTATTATAAATACATTATTTTATAAAATTAATTTTTTTAACTTAAAATTACATTGAAATTTTGTAATTAAATATAATAAAATATGTAGGTGTATTATGTGCATTATTTTCAAAGTATATTGTGTTTAAAGGAAAGGTTCATCTTAAAATTAAAAAGCGCAAAAGCAAAGAAATATTATGCCTTCTCTTCAACATTAATTTCAGAAACATTTTCTGTCTTTTTTGGAGGAGGTCCAGAACATGTAAGGTCTAAAAACATCCCACGGACTACATTGAAGATACTTTTTCTTGATTCGTAAATCTATTACAGAAAATTTTAATTAGCACATACGTTGATTCGAAATAAACAGAAAAAAAAATAATATATACCGGATATATAGCTACAGCACAAGCACTGCAGATAGCCCAAATCATGGAGATTGCGACCCAGAAAGTAAAGAATGGTTTTGAGAAAACATATCTCGAAAAGTACAATGGTAAAGGCCATAAAATAACCAATATTATTGTTAATATGACACTACTCCAAACAGCAAATTTAAATGCTTTTTTTAGGCGAGTTTCATCTCTTTCAATCGGATCAAGATATACTGCATTTTTTACAACTTCATCATCGGTAAGAATTTGTAGCTTCTCTCGTGTTTCATCGAAATTGAAGTTTGATGGAGAAATAAGTGACCAGACTATGGCAACGAAGAGAGAAACTAATAAAGAGGTGCTGTGATTTTAAATTACGACATAAATAAATAAAATATTATTTAATAAATAAAGAATAAATATTATTTAATAAATAAAGAAATCTTGTATAAAGGTGATTATTATAATTATTAAGAAAAAACTTACAGATTTCCTGCCAACATGGGATAATTTTTGCCAGTACTATCAATAGTAAGTTCATGATAGAGAGATTGAGCAGTCACTAACCACGCTGTGATTCCACCAATTACGCCAATAAGTGCTGAACCAATAGCGGCTCCACAACTTTGTTTTGTCCAAGTAATTGAGAAAGCTACTGGAATAACGGCCGGTGAACTTATGATGCCCATAAGTAAATACATATATCCGAGACTAATTCCAATTTTCTGGAGTACAACAGCAAGAGCTCCCATTATAAGACCAAATCCAATAACGGAATAATGCGAATGGGTAATTACTTCACTTCCCATGGCCTATGGATTAAAAAAAAGAAAAAATTAAAATTTATAAATAATTTCTAAAGAAATCTATTTTAAATAATTAATAATAAGTTTACCCCCGAGTGAATATATGTTCGAAATATATCATATGTATAAATAGATGAAACAGCTATAAGCTCAGCGGAGGCAGCAGAACTATATAATGATAACATTTTAATATGAATATTAAATATGAATATTTAAAAAACTTAATAATATCTTTTTACTTACGTGACAGCCATAAAAACCAAAACCAATACAGCAAAAGATCCACCTTTACCTAAAAGTGCAGTAGCAGCCGTGGGAAGTACTAAACCAGCAGATACATCTTCTTTACTTATTGGTGGTATCGCTCCAGCTCCAACCAAGGCAACACCAGCAATACCCATAGTGGTAGCAAGAGTGAATGGAATAGCAAACCATGAAAGTCCACCAATCAAATATGCCTTGACTGTAGATGAGGGTCGAGCAGCAATAGCTCTTTGCCAATAAGCATTGTCGACAAATACAGTACCAAAATTACCAACAATGTTGATAATTCCAAAAATTAATCCTTGTAAAGAAGCCATTGTGACATATGAACCTTGCTCGTTATCTTCTACTGGGTCTTTATTAGAAGCTTCAACTAATAAATCATACATTTTTCCTGGTGACCCAATTACATCGGATGTACCGTAAACAGTGAACACGAAAGAAAGAATAATTATAAATATAACAGTGGTGTGTACGTAATCTGTTAAGAAAGTAGCTTTAATTCCACCAAATAGAGTATAAACAAGTACACCAAGAGGAAGTAAGAAACAACAAGCAATAATATTGACACCGGTAAGGGAATTTACTACGGCCGAACCACCAAGCAACAACATCGCAGTCACGATCACTTTAAAAAAAAATTAGAGAAAGAATTAGAGGAAGTTAGCGATAAAAAATAAGCTCATCAAAAACTTACTATTTGTTGCCAAACCAAACGCCAGAAAAATGAGATGAGCAACCTTCCCGTAACGAACATTTATTATTTCAAGAAAAGTGTGCGCATTTGGAGCTTTACGTTTGAGTTCAATAGCTAAGATAGCGAAAAGTAAAACCTATAAAAAAAAAAATATAAAATAAGTCATACGATAAATAATAATATAATTTAAATAATTAAATTCGATTATAATGTTACCTGGATAGTAGCTCCAGACGCATACCAAAAAGGTCTAATATCATGGTAAAAAATATATTGTAAATAAAAATTCAGAAAGAATAAATTGATTATTGAATATATCGGATTATAGATAATTACCCAGAGACACCATAATCATATGCTACTGAAGAAGATTGAAGTAAAGTCGCTGCCCAAGTCCAAGAAGACACAACAGCAGATGCTACTAAACCAGTTTTTACTGAACGATGTGCTGTCATAAACATTTCACTAGTTTGATATTCCTGAAGATAACGTTTCTGTGCTAATGTTAATAACGACATTACGACGGCAAAGAATGCACCGAATCCAAGCACTAGTTTTTTATTTTATTTTTTGTATGTGAAGAACAATTTATAACGTAAACGCGCGAAAATATTCTGACATAAAATTTCAACGAAAGTAGAAATTAGCATTTACCAACTCCCCATCCGACACTTTCTGCAAGTTTTTCAACCATTTTCGTAAAATAATTACAAGTTTTTTTTTTTATATATATAATTAATTCGTAAAATAAAATTATTCTCGTAAAATTTATAAATAGAAAAATTTTATCAGCCCTAGATTTATATATCAGAAAATCATGGAACCTGAAGTTACGAACGAAGATTTGGAAGAGTATTTATAGTATTTTTTTTTTTTGTATGAATAATACAATAGAGTAAGTGATAAATATATGTACAGTAGAAAAAAAGACATTGTTGCAATATTTATGTATGACTATACAAAGAAATTCTTGTCAAATCAAGATTGTTCATTAGATGAATTGAATTTTATTTTTGGAAATATAATTAAATTGATTTTAAAGAACAAAAGTCTTATCTTTCCATATATTAATATTTAAAAAGTTTATCTCACAAGACTTTACGTGAGAAAATGCGATCGACATAATTGAATTGTGTACCCCAAATATGTTGTTATTTTGTGCAAGTGTATCGTTATTGTAAATACGATATGCATGCATGGTTTACCGATACAAAAAAAAAAAAAAAACAAAGGTGTGAAATTCATCACGGATTATAATTTTATAATTCAAAAAATTTTTGAATTTATATAAAAATATAAACGTATCTTTTGTTCACTAGTACAGCGTTATCTTAAATTCCCCAATAAAGGAATTGTATACACGATGCGTTGCTCTAACCAAAAATATTTTAAACAATGCATTTATTCATCTTCGATAAATTTTGACACGATAAGAGAAAAGATAGAGATAATCAAATGAAATTATCAATAACTTGAGAAACGTTAGCACTACATTTATTTATTTGTTTCAACAACGGGTTCATCCGCCAAAGTCCGATTACATCTTCTATTTATATGTTTTTTCTCTGAGTTCAAAATCTGAAAATTCCTATCTATCATTAAACCATTTAAAGGTTTTGGCAAAAGTCGATTAACTTAATAATCCTAAAAAAGAAATTTTGCTTATCATCGCCTGTATAGTTTTCACGTGATACCATTTATAAGGAATAGATTATCGATTAAACGGGTAATTTCATTAAATTTCATTAAATTTCATTTCGAGTAAGTACAACATGAAACAAACGCATTGGCAAGAAAACAGTGACGGATCAGACATATTAGTGTTTTCCACTGCCAATTTGCAAGGGCAATTGTGAACTTATTGATCTTTTTTCTATCTCACAGGTAAACATGACCGAATTATGGTAAATATTTTTTCGCGATAAACGAAGAGATCTACATATAAGAACCATAATCTCGTTCCGGAATAAGAATATCACAAGAACTATCTTATAAAAGTTCCTTTCCCCGTTAACATCGTAAAAAGCAATGGTTCTGATTTAAATATATTTCTAGTTTCAAATGACAACGTCGATAAAATAAAGAGATATGCCTTTATTTTAACGATTAAAAAAATCAATTTTTATATGTAATGCCCTGCATCACGAATAAATAAAAAATTCCAAAAATATTTTCGTTACTAATAATAAAATTCCATGTGATAAAAGTGATTTTTTTACATTTTCGGCAATTCCATCGTATATTATAGTCGGCCTATATTATTTTTGGTTTCGGCAAATATGCACAAAATATTTATAGATGGAAACTAATACTTTTCTAATTAAACCGAAAATATTATTAAAATATATTTTTGAGATAATAATAATATCTAATAAAATAAATGTAAATAAATATACTTTCCCATGCCATTAACAAAAAATATTGGTTACTGTCTAAAGATAAGTACCCCATTGCACGGCAAGACATCGTCCCTCAAAAGATAGTAACACTTGGGGTTTGTATTCTTGCTTAACAAATACCTTTACAAAGTGTGAACCTAGCAACCAAGACTTCATTCAAAGAAAGAAAGAAACAAGATTCTTATCATTTACACAAGATGTAAATTTATTATTCGATATTGCATGCTAAACATACTATCATTCTACATAGTGTAAGAGTGTAAGAATTAACAAGTTTTTCGATTATTATCAAAGGTCATCTTTAATTTATTCTTTTATTTCTTCATAATCAAACTCAAGATATTTTTGTGGATCATCATTATTTTCATCCAATCCATCATATTCTTCGTTATTAGACATCAAAGGCGTATCTTTATTCATGGTGCAAGGTGAAGTGTTATCATCAATAATACCAGATGACGAATGCATCCAATTATTATGCTTTTTCGTTTGGTATCTTAATGTTGGTGATTCTGTAAATTCCATTTCACTTTCTACTGAATGATGATCTTCGTAAAGTGGTGATGTTGATGATGTTAAAAGATGAATTTTTTCAATTTTTGATATTAATTCGACATTGTTTTGTTTTTTATTATTTAAATCTTCAAGCTGCATAGAGCTACATCTAATACCATCCCTTTCTTCGTTTCTCTCATAAGGTTCGTTCACGTTAAAGGATTTAATATCAGTTATTTCTAACTTTTTTAGTAATTCTTGAAGGTTGAATTGTTTTATTTTCTTTGTAAACTCATCACAATTATTTACAGTTTCCATTAACCATTTCACATCTTGCTTTAATAAACTAATTTCTAATTGAAGATTAGCATTTTTAATTTCAAGGTTATGAATGCGATTCAAAGCATTCTATAATTATTAAATATTTTATTTAATCAAAATTACATTTTAGAAAAGAAAAATTTATAAATAAAAGGAAGAACCTTGTCGATAACTTCATAATCGCTATCAATTGATAATCTTAATTCGTCCTCTGCATAAACTAAATTGGGAATATTATTATAATCAAGTAGAAAATTTAAATAAAACAAGACAATATTAAATAATAACCTGTCGCTCCCTGTGTATTTACTGAACTATCATTTTGCATACCAACATTAGTTTGTGAAGACAATTCTAATTCATCATCTTTTAATTGGTTTTCAGGAATTTTTTTGTTAATTTTATTCTGTTGAGAATTATATTTTGTTGTCTCATAATAATCTGAATTAAAAGACGGCTGAACGCTATCAACGCTTTCATCATCAAGTAATAATTTTTTTTCCCATTCAGTACTTGTCTTAATAATAGATTTAGGCTCAATAGAATCAATAGAGTGAAATCCAGAAGTTGTAATGGTTTTTGAAATTAAAGAAGGGGTCGATTGATTTGTTTCTTGAATGATGTTGACATCATTGACATCATTTTGATCTAAAGGATTTAAATGAGATGTTTTTTGATTTGTTTGGACGAAATCGAAATCGTTTATGGATTCAGCAGATAAATTGGAATGATTTAAGAATTCATTCCATTTCAATGTTTCTGCGCTAACAGATGGGGCCAATGTAGTAAGTCCTCCCAAAGGTGACATTGAATTTATTATAGTGAATTGTTCATTATCATTATCCATTGTATTATCAACACTTTTGATTTTAATATGAAAAGAATTACTTGTTTTAATTCATTTAATCAGTATAATTCATTTTATAGATTACAGAAATATACCTTCCTTGTCGTTCTGAATTTCTACTACTAGAAGAAACATTTGATTGTATTGAATATTTTCTAATACTTTTAGAATTTCTTGGTTTCTCTTTTTAATGTCAAATAAAGATAACTGATGATGATTGAATTCATTAACCTTCAACGTCAATAATTCATTAAATTTTTAATACCTTTATTTAATTTATCGGGATTAATGAAATTCTAAAAATAATAAATAAATTTATAAAAAGGCTTAGTAAATATTTTTAAAGTAAATATGCATAATATATCAACTTAATATTATTATAAATAATTTCGTAAATGAAGTGAATTACTTTAGATAAAGATAAATAATTAATTCCCGCCCAATTATTGTCCCGTAAAAGATTTTGTTTACGTTTTTCAATGTCTTGATTTGTTTTTATTTTTTAATTATTTTAAGACATGAAATTATTAATATCCAGAAAAAGAAACATATGGAAATTAATATATTGATCTATATTTTATTTATTTAAAACGAACGATATACCAGAAATCATATTCCAAGAATCTTCAATATTCTTATCTTTACTGTAATTCATTTCATTAATTTCAGAATCATGATAACTTTTAATTGTATAGTCCTCCATAGATGACTTTCGAAGTTTAGAATGTTTCAAAGAAAGTGAAACCGATAATGATTTTTTATCGCTTTCATGATCAGTTGAAATATTACTATCCCTACTAGATAATTTTTTAATGCAATTTTTTCTAACTACATTAATATTTGGTAATGTTTTTGAATACTTGGAGTTAGGTTTCAAGAGTGTACGTATTTTCTTGAGACGTTGACGATTGAAGAATTCTCTTTGTTTTTGTTGTTCAACTTTAATTTTTAGTCGACCTCTTTTGAATATTTAACCGTTAAAAATACATTTTTATTTTTTATATTTTTATTTATAGACGGATTAAAAATAAGATATTTAAAATTAACCTTTTACTACTAGTCCAATTCATGTTTTTTTTTTTTTACGCGTAAGAATTAAAACAAAATATAATACAATAATTTAAGAAAACTCTGAGTCAATTTTCAATTCATTAACTTACTAATAAGTAGAGTTTTGATGACATAATATCTATTCCTAATATTTATTCCTAATTTAGAATAAAATAAATAAACATTTGTAATAGAGTTTTTGTAACTATCATCATAAGAACAAAAGTAAAAGTTGTTGATGCCGTGTAAAAAATTCAAGGACACAAAATTGTTTGTAACCAAAAATGTTAAATCAAACTTTTTATACAAATGTCTCGATCAATAACAGGTAATATAGAATTATATTTATAATTAGAGATACAGCTTTAATTAGAATTATATTTGATAGTTTATAGTTAAATCAGAACTTTACATTTAAGCAAGCTCAAAGCCAGAAATATAATGCATCTACTGTAAAAGTTTTAGGCCTATATCTTAAAGAATTGAGCGATTGAATTCAAACGTTCAAAAATTATTACACAAAATTCAAACGTTTTATTATTCACTTAATTCTTAAGATATAGGTATAAAGCTTCTATTGCATGGCTTTATTTAGTAGTGTTTCATTTTATTAATAAATACTTCGATATGTGTAACGATTGATAATTAAAAAAAAATTTATGCCATAAAATAGACCCCAGGTCCAGGTCTAGACTTTATCCTAACCCTTATATAAATAAATTTTTTTTTAAAGTAGCTAATACGTATAAATACAGTTGTGTCATTGTGTCACAAATCACCTTGATAAATTTGGAAAAAATAAGGTCAGGTGAGTAAGATGTAACTTTATAGAATCTCATTATAGTAAAAAATAGAATATGTATAAATGATACGTATTGGGGAGGACCAATTGCTACGCCATTTTGAATGATTCATGATTAGTCAGAATATTTCCAATTGCAGAATTTCTATTTGCATTGTGTATCATTTAAATATTAATAAAACATATAAAAATCGGTAGTCTTTTCTCCGTCTTCCGTTACTTATCAGTTTCATTTTTCCTTTTCATCGCAACGAAATATTTATTTATTCTAAGTGCAAATTTTTCCGTCGATATAATTTTTAGGGGCTTATTCTTAACGAATAATACACAGATACGGCTAAATATATTGTCTCTTAAGATTTTTAAAAAATTTATTGGCGTACGTTTGCCGATAATTTATCCGGTAATATTTTTTCCCTTCCTTTTTATTGATTATTGATCGACCAACGATAATTATTAATTATTATGGAATTATACAATAGGTCACTAATATAATTGATATTATATAATTGAATTGATATATCATTGATATAAAATTTATAAATTGATATAAATTTAATATAAATTGATATAAATTTAATATAAATTGATATAAATTGATATAAATTGATATAATTGATATCTTAGTATATTAATATAATTTGAATCAATGTCAAGCCAAGCTAAAATTCATGGTGATGATCCTATTTCTGATCCCAATGGGTCTGATGGTGGAAATAATCAACAAACGCCAACGAAAAGAAAGCGTTTGACACAAGCATGTGATGCATGTCGAAAGAAAAAGGTGAAATGTAGTGGTGATAAACCTACTTGTAATAATTGTTTGCGACTTAACATAGATTGTACATATTCACCAAGTACGAGAAAGAGGGGTCCCAGAGTGGGATTGGTTGAAAGCTTGGAAAAACGTCTTCAACAAATGGAAAGACTTTTACAGCCTCTTAAAGAACAAGGTTTAGTTGATGAACCGGATGATCAAACATCCATTCCTACTGCAAAAAAACTTCGTTTAAATTCGGTATCGGCCGATGAATTTACCGATATTACAGACAATCAAGACAGTCAACATTATTCTTCTCTGGAACAAAGTTCACCCATTTATCAACAGTCAAAAGAATACGTTAAAGTCCCGAAATCACAATCAAAATTAAATGATCTATTATCACCACCAAATTATTCTAACGTTCAAAATTCTCAATCAGAATTTATCAATTACTTTCCACAATCGCCTCAATCCTCATCACCAGCCTCACAAGCTCGGCAATTTCAATTACATACACCCGTTAGCCGTCACTCTCCTGTAATAATAAACGATGCAAACCCCGAAACTGCCTCAGATAATCAAAGTTCTCCAATAAAAACAGAAGAAAGTGACGACGAAACCTTTATATTTTTTGGAAACACTTCTGCTTCTCCAGGATTTCGATCTAATAGCGACCTAATTGCATGCTCAAAAAGAATGAATGTACAAGGAAAAGAACATTTACATAAACAAACATCTCCTCAAAAGACTAATAATTCTTCAGAACAAAATACTCCAACTATGAATTCTTATACAATTGTGTTAAGCAGGCAGAATAATGAATACCCATCACAAGAAATTATAGAACATCTCTGTTCATGCTATTTCCGACATATTGATAATCAATTTACAATACTTCATGAGGCAACCTTTAAACGACAATTACGACAAAAAAAAGTTTCGACTTTTCTTATTCTTTCGATGTGTGCTTTAGCCGCGAGGTAACTATGAGTTCAAATAGCAACATCCATTTGTCTTTACATATAATAATAATTTATTATTTATTATTAACACTGTCTACCTATAATCAGATTTACTGATAATCCTACTATAAAAAAAGATCCACCTTACTTATCAGGCGAAACTTTTGCATCTCTCGCCACTCAGATGATTATACCATCACTAGATAAACCTTCTATTGAGGTTGTTCAAGGTAAATTTTTTTTTTAAATAACTTTATCTCTCTAAACATTTAGAAAATATTAATCAATTGCTTATGATATGTTATTTAGGAATCGTTTTTCTTACTATGCATACTTATGGCTCATTAAAGGGACCAAGATCTTGGATGTATATTGGAATGGCCATAAGGTTTGTTAATTCTTACTTGACGTCTAACTTTTTTTCTTTGATTTTTTTTTTTTGTCATTGATAATTACAAGAAATTATTATTTTTAATTTTTTAATAGGATGGCACAAGAATTGGGTTTGCATAAAATTGATAGTCCATCTTCAAATACTCCAACTAAAAAAGATTCGGAGGCAGCTTTTATTACAAAAGAGACCCGAAGGCGTACTTTCTGGGTATGCTTTATGTTAGATAGGTAAATCAATAATTTTGTTTTTTTTTTTTTAATTCGGTCAATCTTAATTAATTTAAAATTAATTAAAAATCCAAAATTAAATTCCTATTATTTTGATTAAAATAGATTTTCAGCTTGTGCTCTTGGAAGACCTACATTGATAGATGAGGAAGATTGTGATGTTAGATTTCCTTGTGCCGATTCAATTTGGAGTTCGGAATATCCATTCACTAATCCATTAATCAATGAATATCTTAAAGAAAATTATGTTAGAACAGATTCTCGCTTCACACTTGTGCATAATGGTCTCTTTGCCATCCTTTGTAGTGTCATTATTTTATTAGGTCGAGTTTCACAATATGTTAATCGTACTAAGCCAACTTGCGAACTTCAACCTTGGGATCCGCAATCTGAATTTGCAAAGCTGGAAAGAGAGATAGAAGAGTGGTATCAAACAATCTTGATTGATTATAAATACTCTAAAGACACATTTAATTCAAATGTTACTGGTGCAACATTAGCATCGGTGCATTTGCTATATTACGCGGTGGTAGTGGTTCTCAATAGACCGAACGTTGCACTACAGAACAGTGATATAGAATTAAAATTTGCGGCAAAATCAGCAGCAAAATGTAGTGCCGCTGCAAATCAAGTCACTTCTATAGCAGCCGATGTTATTCATTACGGAGTACATTATATGTGTCCATTTACAGTATATCCAGTGTTTGCTACAGCGACTATTCATATCAATGATATGTATAGTGAAGATGCTAACATTGCAAATGCAGCCAGGGAAAGTTTAAAGATTCATAAAGAATTTTTGTTGGAGATGTCACCAATTTGGGCAATGGCCGGTAGAATGAATTGGATGGTTGAAGAAATGTGCGAAGTTAGAAATGAACAAACTGATACCGATACAAATTGTGGAAGCGCATTTTTCTTCGATCGTAAAAAAAAATTTCGTAATAGAACCGATTTAATGTCTACGGGAACCGATGCAGGTTTCGTGACATTCTGGAATCGTGCAAATAATAATATAATAGACACAAATTTCATTAACAATATGCCACCCATGGGATTTCCAGATCAACTATTATCACCTCGATGGCTATTTAACGATTCACCGATCATTGGTGATTGGACAAATTTTCTTCGTGCAAATTCGCCGGGAACCTTGAAAAGACTCGCTAAAAAAGAACATGATGAAAATGAATATGACTATTTCTCTCAAGACATGGCATTATATGGGGGTACTCCATATTTTTATGAAACAGCGCCGCCGTTCCCTGACATGTCAGTAGGACAAAATCTTCCAGAATTGTCACCAAGATTTTTGCAAACAAATCGTCAAGCTATTAAAAATTGGGCAGATATAAGCTCAATTGATTCTTTCACTCAAGCTGCTTCCATTAATACAGCTCCTGCATTATCAAATGTTGGAAATAATACAATTTCACAAGATTTAAATTCTATCGATACGTCAATTAATTTTGAATCTTCTAATGTAAACGATGTAAACAATCAGGGTAGAAGTAGAACAACAGAAATTCGGATAGATCCAATTCTTCGTTAGTATATTAATGTTAATGGTGGTGTGTGTTGGTAAAATATTTAAGAGCAAAAAGAATAATTTTAGTAATTTATTTAGGTTATCTTGATACAATCTATCAAAAATGATTATAGAACTTTTGATGGTAAGTAAATATTTATAGAGATATTCTTTTTCTTTGTAATATTATTAAATTTCATTATTATATATATAGAATTTTTGTAGAATTAGTTTATAATTTAAAATATTTTATTTATTTATGAGTGTGGGAAATAATTTATTAAATAAGGATAATTTGGATTTATTTTTTCAATTATTTCAGGGAAAGAAGAAAGTAGACCGAATTGATTGATTAGAATATCGAATTTATGAATTTATTACATTTGTTTGAAGACATTTTTTTTTTTTTTGATTAAATAAAAAGTAATATAAATATTGTAAATTTTGAATTTATAAATATGCCAAAAAAATTTATTTATGGATTAATGTGAATAATTTAAATTTAAATAATTGTAATTTGATATTTTGAATATTACATGAAATAAATAAAAAAAAAATATTCTAACAAAAAATAAATTATTATCTTCTTTCGTTTAAAATATTTAAATAATTATATATTATTAATGTTTTCACATAATCTTTGTTATTGGAAAGGATAAAGTTCAGGAAGTAAATCTTTAATGACATTTCTTTTAATATATCGATCAAGAAGTTTGGAATGTTCAAATGTATTACTATATATTCCAATAAGTATAGGTTTTTTTAATTTTTCAGCACAATCTTCCAAAAAAGATTCTAATGCTTCAATAGTACATTCCCAATTCGACGGTAAAGAAAATCTTGTCAAATTCTTTGGTACAATTTTTCCCAATTTAATTAATACTTCACTAATATCACAACTATTTTCCACACTCCAACCTATCCTGAATTCTATCAATCTTTGACATGTTTTGAATATATAAGGTAAATATGAAATCTTTTCTGCAGAAAAGAAGCCATTATAAAATGTTAATCGAGGACAACAATTTATTATGGTTTCGGTGTAATTCATAAAATTCTCAAAGTCCATTGTAGAACGCCATAAAAATTCAATAAATTCAATATTTTTATGACTATTATTAATTAATGTTATAATTTGTTTTATATGAACAGAGATTAATGTAATGTGAATCTCTTTTAAATTAGGAAAAGAAAAATTTACAAATTTCTCAAGAATTTCCGGTGAAATATCAAAATTTCCATTTAACCATAATTCTGAAAGATTTGTACATGAACCCAAAATATCTAATGGAAAATTTAAACGTCTTATGGATAACCATTTAAGATATTCACCTTTGTTCTCAAGAGCCTTCTTAATTCTTGGAAATTCTTCATAATTTCCTGTAAAATCAAACCAGATACCTTCTAATGGAATTTTTTGATTTTCAATAAGTGTTGCTAAACCTTCATTATCAATACAACAACAATCAATATAAAATACTTTGATTAATTTACAAATATTTGCAGCACTAAACATTATCTCAGGTTCATTACATCCAACACAACCAAAAGAATAGAGATTTTTTAATGTTATTTCGGCTCCCGGTAATTGTGGTAAATTGATAACGAAATCTACTTTAAGTTCATTATTATCCGGATCATCGAAACTAATGTTTTCCAAGATAGTACATCTACTCATAAATAATTTACATAGTTCCCTAACTAATAAATATAGACGATTATCATTATCTTCCTCATAAAATTCATCAGTCAATTGTTTAACTAACCAATTACGGGCAGCCATATATAAACATTTATATTCCAATATGGTTAAAAATGTTGGATAATCAAAGAATGGTAGAATATCCAATGCTGAAGTAAGAGGAATTCCATTTTCATATAAAAGAATTTGAGATTCATCAGATAAACAAGAGAAATAAATTGATATTAGAGAATAATGACGATCCCAATATTCTTTTTTTTCGAACAACCATGAAAAAGGTGCTCTCCAAAGAATAGCATTAGCTATACGACACCAATATCTTGAGACTAAAGCTAAAGAATATAAAGTTATAAAACTATTTTCATTCTCGCCTATTTGTCTATAACTGAACTCTGAAAATATTTTTTGAAGACATTCTATTGGTAATTTATCTATCATTACTGAAAAAAAAATAATAATTATCTTTGTATTAACTAAATTAAGTAAAAAATCTTTTTACTTTTTTTTTTTTTTTTTTTTTTCAAACCAACCCAATTGTTATCGGTAATTATTACTAAAAAGTAAATTTTTTACATTTACTTTTGGTGCTACATGTACTTTTTAAGGTGTACACGAGATTTCGGTCATATTATTTATTTCTTATTGTTTTGTATTAGGGCGCCCTTAAAATAGAAAAATAATAAATATGTGATTATTAATATTATGATAAAAAAATACAAAATATTGTTTAAAAGAGATGCTTAATAAAGTATAATATAAATGATTTTCGCAAAGAAAAAAGAATCTAGATTCCTACAAAAATAATATACAGTTTAACATTAAAAACAATCTTCTCGTTCTAATTTTTTTGTTATCAAATTTATGCACATAATCAATTTCGCTGACTAATTTTAATTACAAATTTAGTTTTCATGACGCACATGATTTTTATTGTATTAGATAGTAGATATTAAATGAATGATTATTATGATACACGCGTAAAAAAAATGATAAATAATAATCAACAATGAAATTTTGGCGTCATAATGGTTCTCATTTAATGCTTTGCTTACTAACCACTAATGCAAGTTTGCAGGTGATAATTTTTATAACGTTTTGATTCCAATTTTTATGATATAATTCGCGTGTATAAATGTCGAAATAATCTTCTCATGCAATAAACTAAAACACAATCTATATTCTCATGAACCATCTAAAATTCGAAGATTTTCGCATATACACCCAATCAAGAATTAGAATTAGAAATCTTTAATAGCCTTGCATAATAATTTGACATTTTTTTTCAGAAAAAGGAAACGTGACTTTTATAATAATTATCTATAATTACTATTTTACGAAAAGTCATACATTTTTTTTTTATTAATAGGGTATTAATACTATTATTAAATCATTAATATTCAAAGAATTTCTAATCGAAAACAAAAAAAAAAATCCGTCGTTTCCTCTTTCTAATTCGATACCAATTTATAAATTTATATCAATTTCATATCAATTATATGAATCTATATAATCTATACAAATCTACTTAAATTATGCCATTTATGCTGATTTATATAAAAATATATAAGTATAGGAATATATAAAAATTTCTCCCCCTTAAAATTATTAAATAATGTCGACAGAATTATTATTATCATTAGCTACGGATTACATTCAATTATTACAGTATCCCGAAGAAGATTTTAATGTGCTCATAAAAATTGGTGAAAATAACAATTATCAAGAATTTAAGGCTCATTCTGTCATTCTTCGAAGTAGGTCAATCTATTTCAGAAGTGCCTTATCGAGCAGATGGGTTAAAAAGGAAGGAGATTATTACGTTTTTCGAAAATCAAATATCTCTCCCGAGACATTCGAGATTATCCTCAAGTAAGTTTTAATTAAATTAATAATATTCATTATTTTGTGAACTTATTATTGAATATGTTAAATTAATAAAAAAAAAAAAAAAAAAAATTTTATTAAAAAGATTTATTTATAGTGGAACGATAAATTTGGAAAATTTTAGTTGTTCTAGTTTAATGAATCTTTTGGTGGCAGCTGATGAGTTATGCCTTAATCAATTGGTAGATTATGCTCAAGATTATTTTGTTGCAAATGGTTTGAATTGGTTATGTGACAATTTTTATGATGTCCTTTTCACCATTTTTGCACATGATAATTTTGAAAAACTTCAGAAAAGTTGTTCAAAAATAATTGCTCATGATCCTAAAAATCATCGACATTATTTTACGCAATGGCCAGAAAAGTTAATATTGGAAGTATTACAGCGAGAAGATCTTCAACTCGAAGAAATTGATGTATGGGATACAATATTAAGATGGGGAGCAGCACAAGTTGGATTATCAACTCGAAATGTTGCCCAATGGACACAAGATGATTTTTCTAGATTATCTGATAAATTAAAGAATTGTATTCAACATATTCGATTTTATCATATTTCTGTTGCTGACTTTTCTAATCGTGTTCTACCATTCAGTAATGCAATATCAGATGAAGCTTACAATGAAATATTCCAATATTTACTTATGAGATACACTATCAACTTATTACCACCTCGAGGTATTTTACTTGATTCAGAGATTATAGGAATACGTCACGCGGCATTGATTGCCAGTTGGATAGATCGTCAAGAAACATATAATCGTTGGACATGTCATATGGTTCCTTATCATTTCAATCTTTTATTACGTGGTAGTCGTGATGGTTTCAAAGAAGAAACATTTCATCAACTTTGTGATAATCAAGGTCCAGCTTTAGTAGTAGCGAAAGTTAAAGATACTGGAGAATTGATTGGTGGATTTAATCCAGTTGGATGGAAATCTTCGGGACTTTGGATTGAAACTACAGAAAGTTTCATATTTTCTCTAGGTAATGGATCAAATTCAGATCTTAAACATGCAATCTTAAGTAGAGTACAAAATACAACATGCTCCATTGATGATTCTCCTAATATAGGACCATGTTTTGGAGTATCCGATTTGGTGATGGTGGTATCTTCTGGACATTCGTGGGGCAAATTTTTATATAATTTTCCTTGGACGTGTAAACAATCATGTTATGAATTTCCAATTACTAAAAATTCTTATTTTGCTATTGATAATTATGAAGTTTTCAAACTTGTAAGAAAAGGTTCTTAACCTAAAATTTTATAAAACCTTCCTACATAAATCATATTAATTTCATTAAATCGTTTACCGTATAGATTAAGGAGAGAGCAACCATAACTGTAAATAAGAAAAGGATTATTATTTTTACATTATTGGTTTATATTATTGTTATATTATTAAGATTATGCCAAAAAAAAGAGAAAAAAAAATTCAAAAAATTCAAGGAAAATGTAATATTTTTTAAGCATATCACATGATATTAGAAAAAATAAGATGTTAATTCAGAAAAACGATATAATAAATATTTAAGACATTGAAGGAACAAATATATCAGCATACAACTTTAATTTTCTCTTACGACCTTATTTTCATAATAATAACAATAATACATTTATTATTCTTTGCCAAAAGAAATTATTTCATCATCAATTCAATCTTTCCTATTTTGCCTTGCTTTACATATTTAAAATATACGCCCCCCCCCAAATAATTTATCAATCAATTTGTAGAATTTGCGCATTAAAGACATAAAGATGCTTAATAACCCTATTTTTTTTTAATGATCAATCTTCATAACAATGAATGATTATTATTATTTCCCATAAATTTTAAAGAATTATTTATTAATTATTTAGTTATTTTTTTTTCTCATTTCGAAGTTGATAAATGATGTTTTAAGGAAATAATAACATTAATGGGATACATGAAATGATTATTTTAAGGAAAAAAATTTCTTGGCGTTAAATAATAATTTGATCTTGTTTTTCCCTTATGACAAATAATAATTAATTCGGAATTCATGCGAGTTCAAGTGATTTAAAATAATATACAGTATTATTCTTGAAAAGACAACAAACTTGGATAACTTGGATTATTTAATTTCATTTACATGGAAATAAAAAGAAAAAAATAGCATTTATACTAAATTCATTCATGTACGTGAAATTAATGCACATTTAACTTTTATTATGTTTTATTTATGTTTATTGATCAATAATATCTTAAAATGCGATCAATTGCATGAAAATTTGAGTCTATTAATTTGTTAATTTGTTTATTGAATTTATTTCTCTATTCACAATAATTCACAAATCACAAATCAAAAACAAATAAATATAAAAAAATGATTATAGACCTAAGAATTTTAAAGGTAATAATAACATAAAATGTTTAATTTTTAATATTAACATTCTTTCTCAATCAACCTAGAAATGATTTTAAGTAAAGATTTCTTCATTCTATCGTTTGATAACATGATTATCCCACGGTTTCTAATTAGTCGCCTATGATTTTTTTTTGACATATTTGTTGATATTTTCCGGACGATTTGTAACTCTGTTAACTTTATTAATTTATTTATTGAATTTACATTATTTATTTAAATCCGTTACTTTTGAATTTTAATAGTTACATTAGAGAAAGTGCAATTATCAAATATAGATATCAAACTCCATCGTTAATGGTAGAATGCAAAATTCTCTAAAGTTAAAGTTGATGTAATAAACTCATATTATTACTTATAGTGGCAGCTTTTGTTTTTTTCTAATTCACTGATACCCCCTTGTCTTTATTAATAATCATCCTTCTTTGTTATAAAAATAATTTATAGTAACGAAAGTTAGTTAAACCGTTGTATTGAACAATGGCTTGACAGAACGCACCCTAAGAATTGTCTCCTGACATTGCTTAACGATCAAAAATTGTTTGTTGACTTTATTCTGAAGATGGTTAACAAGAATCTTCTTATTTATTGACCCGAATTAGAAAAAAAAGTTTCTTAATAAAGTAAGCTCAAGCTATATGTATGTCGTGAATAAATATAACTTTTTTCTTCATTCGAAATCATTTTTGGTGATCAATCACGATTTTCTAGTTCATTGTTTGTTTTAACATTGAATGTACAGTATTTTATTTTATAAGGAATAATTACAAAAAACATATATGATAAAATATAAAAACTTTGTGAAATAAATAAAAAAAAAAAACAAAATAGAAATGTTCACGATCATATAACTGTTTCAATCGATAACAATAATACAATAATTGATTAGGTAATGAGAAATATATTGAGATATTGAGCTGCGGTTTCTCGTATTTTATTCACTTCATTGGATGGATGTTTACTTGTTTCCTAAAGGGATAATATTTTGACGGAACAAACAATACACAGATTATAACATTCACAATGATATAGATATCTTTTGGTAAAATATCATCGAATAGATAATTTCTGAATACAAACAAGAAAAAAATGAATCAAAGGAAATTAACATTAGAAATTTCCAATGAATTTTAGTATTACCGTCTCAGGCAGATTATATAATCAAGAGTTTTAAAATTGCTACGCCTTTATAAATCTCTAATATTTATAAACATAAAGATGATAAAAGATAAATAAGGAAAGAACTTTAATAAGAGAATTAAAATAATCCGTTATACTAATTATACTATACTGTATTATTTTTATTGAAGAACAATAGGGTGCAGCTAAATGAGAATTAAACTTTAAGAGAAATCCCTGAATGCATTCTTATGCATTAAAAAAAAATGATGATATGGGAACAAAGAAAGATAATTAATAGTTAATTTTGATGTGTTCGTTATGATGAAAAATGACGTATATGTGTGTGTGAGCAATTCTTAAGAGGAAAGGAGAAGGAGGAGACAAATTTTTGAAATTTGTGAAATTTTCTTTTTTTTTTTAGAAAAATATTTCATTCCATCCAATATAATGCACATTATAAGTAACCAAATTTAAACTTACATGCAGCTTTAACATTATTGATCAAAAAAGAAAGAACGGGAATTTGAATAACACAAAATAAGAAAATTTAATCCCGTAAATAAAGCTAATTTTTCGGACGGTTGAAGATCTATGTGTTGTGATTGCTATATATTTCGAGAAAAGTATCAAAAATCTTAAATGTTTCTAAATAAAAAGTGTTTAGATCAAAATTTTTATTTTTTTTACAATGCTTTGTTATTTGTTAATAAGTGTTTGATCTGCCACCTGACCTCAAAACCATTATTGTAAACCTCATTAGACCACTCATTTATTTCTTTCTTCTAATGACTGTTCATTTATCTCTTTATATTTATTTGCTTATTAAACTAGAAAAGAAGAACTTTAGTTAATGGTTAAGCGTGTATTTTCTATAAACTTTGCTTATAAGCAAAATTTTGTGTGAAATAAATATTATAATTTAATAAACTTATTTTTTAAAAAAAAAATTGAAACTAAATCTTCATCACTAACTTTATATTAATAAAAATAAATTCATCGGGCATTTAAAAATATACAAACTACAGATTACGTATACACACTATAAATTACGTATACACACTATAAATTACGTATAACACATATTATTTTTACACTACTGACATTTTCTAATATGATAATAAAGCGTCTTATTTCCTGCACTAAATTATTGATCACTATGCATCACCTTTCTTTAACCTCAAATTTCAAGTAATCTCTTAAAATTATTTTTGTCAAATAAATAAAATAATATAATATAAAATAATATAAAATAATATAAAATAATATAAAATAAAATAATATAAAATAATATAAAATAATATAATATAAAATAATATAAAATAAATTAATATAAAATAATATAAAAAAATGGATTGTTATGCGATTGATGAAATGATGGAACGTTAAAGGGAAAAATAAAATAAAATAAAATAAAATAAAATTACAAAATATAATATATTCATAATTAATAGAAATAATTATTATCGTTGTTATTTGAAGATTATTTTATTTTATTATTATGTGATAATGACGGAATAAAAATAATAAAATAATAAAAATAATAATAATAAAATTGAGTTCACCTTATTTTAATATAAACCAACCCAAGAACTTAAAAAAAGCTTGGCTGGCTGGAATTTTTTTTTCCTTTTCCTTTTTTTTATATTGTTCTCTTTTTTAGATGAATTGGTGAATTAACTTTCCTCTTCTCGGTAAAGAAGAAATATATTATTTTATTTAATATTTTTACGTGTCATAGTTAAAACGTTCTTTCATCACGTGTTCTAGCTGATTTACTCACAAAAAAAAACAACTAAAAGAACTTTACTACGAGTTTATTCTCATTTGCCAAAGATATTATTGTGAGTTTATTTGCGTATTAACAAGGGATTTCGAGAGTTAATTATATTTGAGATGCACTTGTCTAATTTATAAAAGCATCAATTCCAACTTTGAATTTTAAAATACTAAAATATAAACATTCCATTTTTCTCCCTTTTTTTTTTTTTTTTTAATCTAGACTTTTATTTCTTAATTTTATCTCTACAAATAATAATATAATGTCTGATAATCTTCCCGACAATAATTCTTTTATTACCGTTAATACTTCAACTATTACAACCACCACCAATAATAATAATAATAATAATAATAATAATGAAGAAGAAGAATCACCGCCACCATCAACAATAGTAACAACAGCAACAACAATAATAACAAGAGAAACAAATGAATTATTTAATAAAATTACTACTAATGGATCTTCCAATCGCCAAGATTATAGTCAACAGTCATGGACAGAAAATTCAATCAATTATCAAAACAATGAAGACGAAGTAAATAACAATAATATATCTAATAGTGCCAATAATATTAATAATATCAATAATAATAACAATAACAACAATAACAATAACATCAATAACATCAATAGTATTAGTACTATCCCAGGTGATTTTGACTTTATCACCTCTGGCGAAGAGAATAATGTGATAACTCCTGACGTGGACGATTATTCAAATAATTCTTCCACTACTCCCAATATTACTATTCTGACTCATACTGCTTCCACTACCCAGACTAACGCTCCTTCCACTACTCCTACTTCTAAAATTACACACACGGCTCTTCCCTCTACTCCTTCTACTCAAGAGATTACGTTCGAGACATCAAATATTGATAATACAACTTCTACTGCGTCAAATCTGAACGATACTTCAATTGCAACACATCACGAAGAATTCCGTATTAAGAATGAAGAGAGGCGACAATATGAAGATTATTTAATAAATCAATCATCTTTAAATGATCGCGCATATCTTGCCAATTATTTTCAATATATTCCTCACTCCTCATTTCCTCAAACTACTTTATCAAATGGTAATCATGCACCTTTGAATAACGGGAATAATGCGAATAATGGAAATTACGTTATAACTTTACCTACTAATTCAAATAACACAACAAGAATTGATCCAAGTTTACTGAATTACGAACGAAATATGTCAAATGTGTCAATTCCAGGAGCTCAAAGTTACGGTGATCAATCCTCCTCTCCCACCAATAATACCAATCAAACAATGTATTACGATACTCAAATTCCACGTGGATTATCTCATTATTATAATACAATTTCTGGAACTATTCCTTACGAACAATTTGCTGCTGCTCAAAAAATGATAAATGGTGGTGGTGGTGGTGGTAATAGTAATCATAGTAATCATTCTACTACTACTACTATTACTACTCCTTCTTCAAATATTTCAAATATGATTACCTCTTATAATACTACAACAATGAGAAATTACTTGACTTTAAATGATCAATTGTTGTCAAATAAAAGTAAAAAGAGGAAAAGAAGTAAAACTGAATCGGATTATGCAAATGTTTTATCCTTGCAATCTTCAACATCCACCGCTGCAGATGGAATTCGTCAAAGTGAAATTGCTCAATGCTCAAATTGTGGTGTACACGATACACCTGCTTGGAGACGTGATTTACAGGGTGTCGCATTATTATGTAATGCATGCGGTCTTTAGTAAGTATTTAATTAACATGTTTGTATGGTTTCATTTCCTTGATTTGCTTTGATTTTATTTGTTGGACTAACGTAATTATAGAAATTATGGAAATATTAATTCTATGACTAATCATTTTCTTATTTTCCTTATTTTTCTTCACATTTTTTAGTTTAAAAAATAAAGGTATACATCGTCCAACAGAAATTGCGCCAGATGGATCTGTTCGTCTAAAACGAACTCGAACTGAGCCAGAAGTCGCATGTCATCGTTGCAATGAAAATAATACTCCTTGTTGGAGAGGACCCGAAGGACAAAAGCTTTGTAAGTAAAAAAATTACATATACACATACACACACACATATATATAAAATACTTGATACATTCTAAATTATATTTTGATATAAATACAACTGATATAAACAAAATATACCTGATATAAATATACCTGATACTTAAAATTTTAAAGGTAATAAATGTGGAATATTCTTAAAGCAACATGGATATCCATCAGAAATCATTTCCACTCAAAAATCCACAATCAGTTTTACATTATAAATACACGAAATTTATATTCATGAATTATTTGAATTATTTTGAATTGAATTTTTTTTTTTTCTGTATATAGGACATTTTTTTTCTTAATAATTTTTAAATCTTTTTTTTTTAGGTTTAGGGTTTTCTTTGTTTTCTTTTGTATATTGTTTGTATAATACTTTGTATATCATTTTTTTTTTTTGAAAAGGATAAATTATTTTCTTCACACCTTTTCTGATAACTTTTTTTTTCTTTTCTGTGATATTACAAATGTATTTTTTTTTTGTTCTTTGATTTATTTTTATATTAATTTTTTCTAATAATAGTCTATTACGACGAAGCATTTTAATAGATTCAAAATAAATTTTCTTAATTTCCTTTCGAGTTGAAAACATTATTAATTGTAAATAGTTTACGTACTTTTCTTGAATCAATAATAAATATTTTAAAATTTATTTTAGAAACAAATTTTACAAAAAAATTTTTTTGAATTTAAAATGATTACTTTGTTATCATAATAAGCGTAAAATAATTAACAATAATAAATAAACTTTTTATAATTTAAATAAATTTATTATTAATATTTAAAATTAAAAATTTATTCATCACAATGCAAGAAGAAAATTCATAACATGTCTTTGCATTAATAAAAACCTTTTAATGTTCTGTTTATTCGATTAGAGTCCTTTCATTATTCATTTATATTAAAAATCATTAAAAATCATTAAAACCTGTTCTTAATTAATATTATAAAATTAAATAACTCGTTTATTTTATTTCTGAATGCAACCTTCGACGTACTGTTATTAATTATATGCTAAAAAAATGAATTTCCATGAATTTTACGTTTTTTCCGATGCAGATGATAAAATTTACTCAATAGCTACGATCAATATTTCTGATCACAACATGAACACACTGGTACTATTTTACTAATTTATACATTTTTCTGGTTGTACAAGTCAAATAAGGTCATATGCAAATCGCACGTGATTGAATTTCAAACCATTATAAATAATGTCGATTTACTGTGTTGTACTTTCCAAATTTTTTTCTCTGACAAATTTTGTTGTTATCATTATGGACACGACTTATGTTCATATAAATGGAATTTCTATTCAAAATCTTAAGCAAGATTTTGAGGTCTTGGGTGACACAATATCTTCTTGCTTAGCTGGTGACCCCGTCACCATGCGGTCCGTTTTAAACGGCCACAGCGGTGATATCATTCAAAATCGTAAAAAATATGATGGTTGTTTACGAGACTTAGAAAAGCTGCGCCACGTGTCACGTGATAACGAAGGCTTGTTTAACGTAAGATTTATAATAATAATAATAATCAATTTTTATAATATATATATATATTTGTATATTGTTTATGTATTATGTATAACAAAAAAGATATAATATAATAATAAAAAAAATAATGATAAAAATAATTTTTATTATTGTTGTCTATCATTTACTTATTTTAGTGGTTATTGGATGTAATGAAAAAATATATTATTCAACTCCAAAATGGTAATTATTTTGATTTACATAGAGATTGCAATTTTTTAATTACTATAAAATCCATTTGAGCTTTCACTGGCACCACTATTTTAGTGCGCGTAAATCTTTAAAGTATTCCGACCCGAGTTAGCCCGAAATCAATAAGGTTCCGGAGCGATCATCACACTTTCTTTACAAGATCACGCGGCATCACGGATATTATTAAAAAATTTACAATAAAACAACTTAACAAAAATTATTAAACTTTTCTTTCCTCATAAATCAATTAAAATAGACCGACAACAATATACAAATGGTTTAAACTATAACGAAAACCTGAAAACGCTTAGTAAATATTTTGAAGAATCAAAGTTATTAAAATTGCTTACAAATATTTTATTTGAACATTTATCGTATAATGGGTAATAAAATATTTTTATTTCTGATATTTGAAATTATTATTAATCAATTTCTTTCAATTCTTCATTTAATTGATCTTCATTACATTAATTGATTTCATTAATAAAATTATAAATTACAGTTCTCGCGAAAACACTTTTAAAATCAACAAAAAACGTAGTAAAGCCTTATTTGATGTAAGAAATTTTATACAAATATATTGTTTTCTTTATAATAAGTTGATAATTTGATAATAATTAGATTAAACAATTGCATCAATTACATCTTTTTTTTTCAATTCTTTCTTAGGTCTTGGCCGAAACAAATTCCATATGGCTCCTTCAATGGGCTTTGGATAATAACATCCTTTTCGAATTTAAATGTCAGGTGCTTATGGAATTTACTATTTGGAAGCTAAGTCAATTAAATTCAAAGTACGTCTTTTAATTAAAAACTTTTAAAAAATTGATAAGATCAATGCATTTCTAAAAATATCTAATTTATAAACGCGAAATTATTTTAGTATCCCGTTTACGATCTTTGATTTTCTTATAGATGTTGATGCAATTGCATATCAACAATGTATCCTTGGTCTTTTGGACATTTATTTAAGAATTGCCCAAGACTACATGAATAATGTGAATAATGAGCATAACACTTTGTCCGAACGAGTTGGTTTGTTTGACAATCTCTTTCATTATTCAAAAATTAGTTCAACACTGTCACATTTAATGTCAAATATTTTAATATCATCACCATTTATCATCATTATTAGGTGAACGACTGATTGTTTCACATTTACTGAATAACATTGTTCGGTATCCTCTATTAACGCATGGCAAGTAATGGAATTCAGCATTTACTGAACCCTTTGCAAATTAATTAAATAAATTATGATCGTAATTTATATAATTCTATGTGAATTATACAGGCAAAGAAGAACAAATCTGGAGTATCCTCACGGTAAAAAACTTACAAACTTTGTGTTACTTTGAATACATTACGAAGTTTTCTCTATGTATAACTTCATCTGGGTAAGTCTTCAAAATAAAATAATGAAAATGTTATTATTATTTTTTTCCACATATTTATCATTTTAATGATTTGATTTTTCATATAGCGTCGTCACATCGATTTCGGAGGTATTTTACAATTGGTTACGAACGTGGTTGTTGACCAATACAAATAGCGTAATACCCCATGTACTTCCAATTTGCATTTCACTTGATAGTTTGGCAAATGAGAAATATGTGGTTTGCGGTAGTAATATTAAATTGGACGCGGTGCAATATTTAAGCGACGTTATAACCACAGAATGTGTGTCTTTAATTCAACAAGTGACAAACGCAGTAAGTTTACAAATATTATTTCTACTATTTATATATATATATATATATATATATTAACGAACAATAATACAATAAAATAAAGACTAATGTATTTATTTTAATTTATGAATAGTTTGATGAATGCATTGTGGACATATGTTCAAACGCTTCATCACATTCACACTTGGCGGAAGTAATTGTGAGAAATTTTATGCCACAAAATTACGCCAATAATTTATCACCTTTAAAAACTTACAAGATTATACATGCGCAATTAGGGACGTTATACATTATGCCAGATACGGAAATAAATCTTAATCAGACATTAAATCTATTTCTACATCGTTTGGAAACAAATTGGGAGCCATTTTGGTTGACCATCCTTAAATGCATAGGATTATCGTCTAAACAAGCCGCCGAAAAAACAATTCAAGGAATATTTTCGTTAATTAATTTAAAGCAACCAGATGATCAAAAAAAAATAACAAGAAGAATAAACATATTGTTCGAATTTATTTCATTATTTGAACGTCATTGGGAAAATGTATTCAGGTTAGATATTAAACATTTTACAAATTTATAGATTTTAATGATATAATGATATAATAATATCACGGGATCCAAAATTAAAGAAATTAAAATCTATTTTTAGTAGTCTCATTGTCGATAAACTCATAAAATCAACATTAATTCGGGAAGAAGCTGATAGTGAAACGATTTCAAATAACATTCAATCTATGAACGTTTACAAAACTTTATTATATTTCATCTTCACTGACTCGAAGATTTCAAATATACAATTATCAGAGTTAATTGGTGGATCGTTGAAATCAAGTTTTAAGAGTAAATGTATATTGGATTCATTAGGAAATTTTTATGATCATTTATTACGCACTTTTCATTACATTCTAAACAAACAAGATGATCAAATTGTTTTTTCAAATTCCGGATGGTTATTGATACTGTTATTATTTGCGACATCATATTCTCTCAAGAATAAACCAATTCGCAAAGTTATTTTATGTTGCGATAAGTTAATTGACACCTGGTTTGGTACGATAGAGAGAAAGATACAATCATCATCAAAAATTAACAATAACATTAATAACAACAAAAATAATATTAACAGTCAGAATATTCAATTTGACAAAATCATAACTATTATGGAAATTATTGGTAACTAATTTCTTGCCATTATTGGTTATCGTTATTATTCAACCATTTTAATCATCATCATCTTTATTTTCATTATATTTCATTATATTAATAATTATTATTTTTATTTTTATTTTTTTTTTTGTGAACAGTTTCTACGTTTTCAAAATTCATTGGAATATTTCCATACTTACCCTTACAATTATTAGAAAAATTAATATATAATGCTGAAAATGCTAGAACTTGGCTTTGTAAGCCAAAAGAAACGAAAAAATATTTGACGAATCTAGAGTTATTAGTTGATCGTCCCCCACCAAAATTTAGATATAATACAAATAAAAAATCATATTCTTCAACGTGGCATTCATTTAATTCATTTAATTCCAATATTAATCACAGTGAGAAAAGTAATTCTTTAACAAGACTATCATCAAATTCTTTGAAAAAAGATTTTTTACTTTACTTAAATGATTCAATCCAGAGGTAAAAAAATTTTATTATAATAAAAAAAAAAAAAAAAAACTTCAATTAATTCGAGGTCTAACTTTGAAATTTTTCTTTAGTTCATCGATAAATCTCATTAAGTCGAACATTTTGTCTAACGGTAGAATTTTCAGATTATCTTGTATGGGGCCAGGTAATTCAATAAATTTTAAATGCTGCATAAACGTTTCTTTTGTTTAATTATTTGGATTACCATTTTTAAATAGATTCATTATCATGTGATTTTGGAAAAACAAATAAACTATCGCGTATTCTCATAAATAAATTGACTACATTGGAGCCTCCAACATCGGTAATAGAGCACATGATAGTACCCAAGCCTATTCCATATGAACGGTAACATATTAGCTCACTTGTTATCAATTTTTTTTTTTATATTCTATTTGTTTTATATTTTAATTATATTTTATGTCATAAATAGAGATAATATTATCTATTCAAAGTTTAGAGATTGTCCGGAGCTCCGTTTACTAGTAGATTTTTTAGCAAACGGTAAATTTTGATTTTTTTTTTTTTTAAAAAAAAACTAAATACTAGATATAACTGAGTCCTTTATTAACAATTTAAATTTTCGAATGTTGCTTTTTAGATCATGTGGCGTTCAGAGAACTTCACGATAATTTATCCCGTTCACTTCTTTCCATAAATATATCTTTCTGGTATAGAGCACTTGAACATAGTTCGAGAAAATATTCTACAGAATTGGATATGGCGATAGGCCTAATTGAAACGATGAGAAAGGTAATTATAATTATAAAAAGTATTCTTTATTGACCTATTGTAAAGCTACAGAAGACTATAGAAAGATTAATTGACCATTTATTTCATTTTTCATTTTTCAAAAGGCAAGTTATGTTCCTCCACCATTAAATTATATTGGACGATTGTTACCGCATGTTTTCTCAAAAGACGTGGGATACTTACTATATGAAATAATATGGAAATTTGTATTAGAAAATTGGCAATTATGTCCATATTCAGAAGAATTTGACATAGACAAAATAGAAAATAATTTACCAATAGGTCTTTCAGAGAGAATTCAAAAACTTAAACTAATCCTTCAAAAAAACATTTTATCTATGCCAGAATTATTATCAGCTCATTTTGTATAATTAATTTGAACACTTAAATGAAGACGAGAATATAGAATTATTTAAGTTGTATATTTTTTTTTTGGTAAAAATAAGTAATATCGAATTTATGCCGCTAAAACAAAAAAAAAAAAAAAAAAAGGTTTAATTTCATATAATAAAATTGTTAATACGATTAAAATAATTATTGATAGAATATAAAATTCTTTGTCTGCACCTTTTGTTCTTTTAGTGTTTAATAAAAATGTAATCTTTTAAATTTGCTAAGTTATAAGTTAAGTCTAAAATACCTAAAACCTAAATATTCAAAGAACAATGATTTAGAAGAAACTATATTTGGAAATGAAAATATCCCCTAAACAATTATACGTATATGGAGCATGATAAATTTTGGAAACCATTTTGGAATAATGATATACAATTCATTTATCTGACTTATTTTTGATTCTTGCAGCATGCAGCATGATTTTTTGTTTCTGGATATTTAAAATTAGTGATGGTTTAGAAATAGAAATCGTTGGAAGAAGATTAGTAGTAATGTTGAAGATCAAAATTAATTTGGGAATAATAAAAATTTAAAGTTTGTTTGATTTCAAGAATTTGTTTTATTCTGTCAATATTTCTATATCTATAAAAACATTAGAAACTTTTGGCGTTAAATGTGTGAGAATTAATATCACATGATTGTTATACATATAAACAGAAAAAATAGCCAAAATAGTCAAAATGCATTTTCGACTTCCGAAATTTGAGTCAAAATGCAAATGGAATATGAAATTTTAGAAAAAAATGAAGATTTTGAAGATGATACTTGTGTAAAATCATCATCTCATTTTGAACAATCATCAGAATTCTTTTCGCATTTGCCTATTTTGTTGAATGCAATTGATGATAATACAGATAATGAAGAAAAAGATGTTGAACAAGAGAGAGTTTTGAGAAAATTAATTTCATTGGTAATATAGAATAATCGATTTAATTACTTTTATGAAATCATATAAATTTGTTCTAATAATTCTATCAACATATATATTATTTCTTGTTTCATATATATATATATAATCTTGTATTTATTGTATTTTTATTATATTTATTTTAGATTGATCCATATCAAGAACAACCATATCTTCTTGACCCACATTTGGAGAATATGGTTAAACCTATTGTGGACCTATTTCGAATTTATATTAGATCATTCAATGCACAAGATTTGTTCCTTTCAAGAAATTCAAAAGACAATCTTACTAAAGATAATAAAATTCAAGTGTCTAATAAAATAAAAAGATTATTTATTCTTATGTATTACCTTATGAAAATTCGTGGATATAAAACAATTGGTAAAACATATCTTATTCAATAAATATGATAATTAATAATATTCTTGAATTATTCATTATTTACATTCTTCCATTTTTTATTCCTTTTATAGTAAAGTTTTTTTCACATGAAGTTTCAGATTTAGAACCTACTTATTATTTCTTGGTAGCTTTAGATCCAAAGGATTATACAGGTTGGGAAACTAGATATGTTTTGTTAATATGGTTATCCCTCATTTGCATGATACCATTTGATTTGAAAACCGTGGATAGTTTAGCAAATGATACCGAAGGAAAGAAGGCAAGTTCATAATAAAAATATTTTTAGATTATTTTAATAATTTGGAATATAATAATAATAACTATTTCATGTCAGTGTAATTAACACAAAAAAAAATTGGATAATTTATAGTTTCCTCTTCTGGATCATATGATTCAATTATCAAAGTTTTATTTAAAGGCAACTGGTAAAGAAAGAGATGGTGCGGCAGTTCTTTTGTCACGGTTATTAACAAGGTTAGTTATATTAATTTTAAAAAATCATGTTGATATTAATTTTTAATTTTTAAAATATTATAAATTTGGTAACTTATAGGCGTGATATAGCTGAAGTTTATCTCGCTGATTATATACAATGGGCTCAAGATGAAGTCAAAAATAACAAAGATGTGTTTACGGTATGAAAATAATTAATTTATTTAAAAATTTATAATTTTTAATACTAATAATATCTTATATATTTAGATCACAGGTATTCTTACATCCCTTTGCGCCATTTATAAGCTTGGCCAAAGGCAAACATCGTTGCCAACTTTAGATATTGCTTGGCCTTGTCTTTCCTTACTTGATGATAATCAAATATTTGCTAATAATACTCTTGTAAGGAAAATGTTGGTTAAACTGGCTCAAAGATTTGGATTATGTTACCTAAAACCTAAGGTTGCTGCTTGGAGATATAAAAGAGGTATTGTTCAAATTTATTCTTTTTTTTTTTTTTTTTAGTTCGATAATTCAATAGATTTCTATTTAATTTATTTAATTTATTTAATTCTAATGAATTTAATGATAATAATTTAATGATTTCAGGAAATAGATCTCTTAAAGATAATTTAGGATATAATTCCAAAACAACTAGTATTGATCCTTTAAATATAAATCAATCTTTAAAAGAAGTTGTAGAAGATGAAGATGAAATTCCTGATCAGATCGAAGAAATTATTGAAATATTATTGAATGGATTACGAAATAAAGTAAATTTGTTGTATATTATGTTTTCTAGAATTAATATATTTTTCATACCACATTTATCTTATTACTTATGTATAATGAATAGGATACAGTAGTGCGTTGGTCAGCCGCAAAAGGTTTAGGTCGTATTGCACAACGATTACCTCAGGAACTTGCCGACGATATAATTGGTTCTTTATTTGAACTCTTTTCAGAAAATACATATAAACGTAATGGTGTGTTGGAACTTTCTGCTGTATCCGATCATACCTGGCATGGTGTATGTTTGGCTGTTGCTGAATTGGCAAGAAGAGGTTTATTATTACCTGAAAGGTTATCAGAAGTTGTTCCTTGGGTTAGCAAGGTAAATAATTTTATTGTTCGATATTGATTTATTATTTAATTTATATATATCAAATATTATAATATAATTGTAATCAATTAACATTCTTAGGCATTGAAATTTGATTTAAAACGCGGTACTCATTCAATTGGGGCTCACGTTCGTGATGCAGCTTGTTATGTATGCTGGTCATTTGCTCGCGCTTATGAGCCTAAAGTTCTTGCACCTCATGTAGCTGAATTAGCAAATAGTTTAGTTGTTGTGTCCGTATTTGATCGTGAAGTCAACGTTAGACGTGCTAGTAGCGCTGCATTTCAGGAGAACGTTGGACGATTGGTTAGTTATTATTATTTTAACAAAGGTGAAAAAGTATCCTTCAAATTTTTAATATATTATTTGCATTTTCCTAGGGTGTTTTTCCTCATGGAATAGATATTATTACTACAGCAGATTATTTCACAGTAGGAAATAAGGTTAACGCATTTCTTGAAATAAGTGTGAAAATAGCTAAGTAGGTATTTTTATTATTATTTTTTTTTTCATGTACAATTAATTTACATTTAATTTCTAAATAAAAATTTTAGATTTGAAGAATATAAACATCATATGATAGATCATCTCAGAACTATAACTATATCAAATTGGGATAAAAGAATGAGAGAATTAGGGGCCAAAGCTTTGCATAATTTGACTCGCCTTGATCTTGATTATATGATCAATATTGTTCTTCCATATCTGGTATATTAGTATACTTGTATCTTCATCTTATTAAATCATTTATATAGCACTCTAATTCATTATTTATCGATTTAAAAGATACCTCTTGCTAAATCTCCTGATATGGATACAAGACATGGTGCATTGTTAGCGACTGGAGAAATTTGTTTGTCATGGTCATTGATTAAAGGAAATGACAAAAGTTGGATCGAAGAACATGAACCATTAATAACGGTATTTTTTTATCCATTAATATTTACAAACTCATCCTATCATCACAATTACTTTATACTCGTATTCTAATTTGCCTTCCTTTAAATTCTCTATATTATTTATATTGAAGAGAATATCCAATATTATTGACTCTCTTCCTGACACTTTATTCACATCTTTCGGTTCAGAGGTTACTGTCCAAGCAGCAGTTAACCATATTGCTTGTTTGGCTAAAGCTAATTGGCCTGTAAACTCCGAAATATTGAATAACTGGAAATGGGTGGTTAAAGATTTACTAACTCGTAAAGATGAAACTGGACAACAAATGGCTGTAGATGCATTAGAGGCAATTATAGTCCATTACGGAATCGAAGAAAAGGAGATTCTTAAATATCCTTTCATATTATTTCATATTTCTTCCTTATTTGGATTTACCAAAAAATTTTGTGAAGGATTTGTATGTCTTAATTCTTAACACATATATAGACCGCTGTATTCCTTCAAAAAACGTTTACGCAAAGAGAGGTTTTGTTCTTGCATTGGGTGTGATACGATATGACAAAATTCCAGAATGTCTGGAATTAAGCGTGAATTCTTTAATATTATCTTCTAAACTTCAGGTATGATAAATAATAAATAATAAATTATTATAAATTATTTGAATAACATTGAATTCTTATTATTTATTTTTTTTTTTTTTTTTAAAAAAAAAAAAGGAAACTAAAATGTGGAATGATCCTGAAACTCGCAGAAATGCTTTCACTTCATTTACTGTAATTTCTAAAAATTTGGGTGAATCATTCAAGACTTGTGAGTATTCTTCCAATTGAAGATTTTTTTTAAGTTATTCTTGAATCTTTTATCTTTACTTTCATCTCATTAACAATAATTATATCTTATTACTTTTTGCAATTCCTATTAATATAGTTTGTTCTAAATCAATATTTGATAAAATGCTCGAAGCAGCTTTTGTAGGATTAGAAGATTATAATGTAGATTTACGTGGTGACATTGGTTCTTGGATTCGTAAAGCTAGTATGATGTATCTTGCTGTAATTTGTCCACTAATGGCACGATTAGATCAAAAAGATCCAAACTGCGAACCATGGTTATCAGATGAATTAATTAAAAAGATTTTTGGCAATTTGTTAAAGCAAAGTGTCGAAAGAATTGATAAGATTAGAACTTGTGCGGGAAATATTTTGATGGAGTTGTTATATGCCAGAACTGATGATGGAGAGAATTGGTTATTTAATATTAAAGGTCGAGAAGTTTTGCAATCCACCTTGCCAAAGTATATTTATTTATCGTTTTGTTTGAATTATTTGCAAAGACCATTTTGGTTTTCTTACTTATTTAACACTACGTTTTTTCAGAGATGAAGAAATCCATTGGATATCACCACTGGAATTATATCCAAGAATGGTTAAATTACTTGTATTACCTGATTATCGTCTTGAAGCACTAACGGGATTTGTTCTCGCTGCTGGTGGATTAACAGAATCTTTAGTATGTAGAAAAATATATTATTCTAAACTTACATATTTGCATATTCAGTATATTCAGTTTAGTTTATATAAACTTTGTCACAGATCCGACATTCAAGTAGTACTTTGCTTGAATATGCTAGCGAGCTTCCCAATACTTCAACGCCAGGAACATTTACGTTATCTGAATTCGCGAATACATTGTTGGAAATATTTCGAAAATATGAAAGAGTTGATCGTGTTGTTATTCCTTTATTGGAAGTCTTAGATTTATTATTAGAAAACGAAACTTTGCAAAAAATTGACCCAAACAGTTTCAGGTTAATCTTTGATCTCTTGTTATTTATGTTATTTATGCAGGTTTTAAAAATTTTATATAAAAATTCTTTTTTTTTTTTTGATGTCTAAAATATTAGTTTTGAAGATCTATTTGAATGCGTAAAGAAAGAAGTTACAAAGACACGCGAAATAAGAAAACTAACTTGTTGTGCACGGGTGTAAGTACAATCACGTGTAATTGCTGTTCTACTTCACACGACACATTTCTGGCTAAAAAAAAATTTCCCTTACAGCTTCTGTGGAATGACATCTTTGAATGAAAACTTACGCAATCGTTCACTATATCAATTGCTTGGTTTATTGGTTCATTCTTTTCCAAAGGTTTTTTTTTTTTTTAATAATGAAATTTGTTTTTTTTTTCTATTTTACGACAATTATTATTTTTATATATTTACACAAATATTATATGAATATGAATGAAATAGGTTCGAAGATTGACAGCAGATCAATTATATTTAACACTTACTTCGATGGAAGATGAAGAATCAGAAAATTTGTTACAAATTGAAGATATTTTAGCAAACACTGATTGGTAATTTTACAAAAATCTTTTGATATATTTTGGATAATTCTATTAATCATACATTTTTTGTTAGGAATAATCCCGTACCACAACTTAAGGAAATCAGAAATCAACTTTATCCCTTATTAGGATTGAAATTACCAGTGTTCAAAATTTCTACAGGATCCTAATATAGTACGTTTCAATGGAGTGTTTTTGGTGTGATAATAATATTTGGAATTGAAAAAAAAAATATTTAATATATAGACCCATTGTTTATCTTTGGGTTATAGTTAGTGAAATGTTACTCTTTGTGCAATTTCCCAATTGGTTCATCTATTAATTTCCTTTTAAGAAAATATCCTGTATAATCCCATTATACATCTGTACAATGATGTCACAACATATGTGACTCCGAAAAATCAAAATAAAGATAAAAATTTTGTATTTCACGAAAAAATGGTTGAAATGGTGGGATTTAACTTTCCTTCCGAAATATATCAAAATATTTTTGAAAACCTTGATACTAAATCTTTAAGTTCATCAATATTAGTAAATCGCGTTTGGTGTTTGAATTCTATAAAGATATTATGGAAAGATCCATTCTCTGTTTTACATGAAAATCCTTCGAGCAATTTTCAACTTAGAACTCTTTCAATAATACAGACATATATTTATTGTCTTTCCGATGAAATAAAATCACAATTGATTTTAGATAAAGTTCCAATTGATAAATTAAGACCAACTTTTGAGTATACATCATTTTTATGTGTCTTACATCTTCCTGACTTATATAATTCTATTGGAAGTTGGCTTGCTCAATATCATATTAACATAAGAAGGGATGGATTCCAGCATAAATTATTAATGAAAGAATTGTGCAAATTATTTTTAATACAATGTAAAGAATTAAAAGCTCTCGATTTTTCTGGTGTTCCGAACATAAGACACCTTATTCATCATAAGAATAATATTCGTGATTACGAGATTTTCTTTGAATTACCTGGCGTCATTTCTTACTTTAAAAATTTGCAATATTTTCGTTGCAAAGGTAATGTATTATTTCTATATATTTCAGTTTGTTTTTTTAAAAAAACGATTATTCTGATTATTTTAAAAATGGTCGATTTCTTTAGATGATTTTCCATCCCGAATGTTAATTTCTTTAGCAAGTTTAGCGAATAATATATTTACTTTGGATATTACTAGGAAAAAGGATAATGAAGGATTAGTAGAATTAATTAATACCCAAGAAAATTTAAGACATTTCAAATTTAAAACCTATAAAATGAATTTGTTGCAGGTTGTTCGAGAATTGCAGAAAAAGTCATCAACTCTTAGAAAAGTAAAATTTAATGGTGGATGTTCTATTCCTTTAGATTTTTTATATCAGCTAACAAAACTTGAAAAGTTATCTTTACATAATTCACAAATGACTGTAAATGGAAATGTTGATTTATTTAAAACAATTTATTTAAACAATCTTATCGAACTAAAAATATCTCTCGAAGATCAATTTGTTCAACATTATATATCATTAATCCAAAATACTAAAGGCTCACTTAAAGTCATCAAAATGATTTTCAAAAATCCTAAAGATCCAAAAAATTTGCCACTCCTTTTTAAAACCATTATGAATTGTTGTCCTAATTTAATTAACATTCATATTTATATTCCAAACAAAATTATTTTTGAAATTCTTAACTTCTTCAGAAAATGCCCTTTACTTGAAATAGTTATTTTCACGGGAGATAATTTAGATATTAGTAATATTCTTCTGAAAATTGTTCCAGTTTTACCATACAAGATGAAAACTCTCAATTTAGGATTTCCTACATGGGAAGCCTCGACTAAAACGATTGATGAATTTCGAGCTAAAGTTTCAAGGTACATAATTAGAGTTATATTAAATTTGGTATTTCGATTCAAAAAGAAAAAAAATTATTGACATTACTCTTTTTCTTTAGCACAATTGATATTACAATAATGCAAAAATTCTAAAGTAAATTGCTTGCATATATTTATTTAAAGTCAATTCTCAATGAAATTTCTTTTATAGAAATAATTTTCATGTAAATATTAAAACATTTTCTTTTTAATTTTGTATATTATTATTACTATTATTACTGTAAAATTTTATGTTCGCAAACAGTTTCTTTTTAAAATTGTTAAAATTGTCAACAAAACTATATTTACATAACTTTTATAAAAATTTATGCTAATTTTGAGGCGTATTTTTGCGTTTAAATTCTATTTCAATATTATTATTATATTTGAAAAATTTACAAAAATACAAGACAATTCATGAAAACTTTCAAAACTTTGCAGCAACCTTCCAAGGTGGAAGAATGTCATCCGGAGCGGAATCTTCTCCATATACTAAAACTTTAGTCTCTTTTAACACCCCATACCATCGATACAATGACAAAACATCCAAATACATTTCTGAATTAATATATCCAACTACTTCTAAAGAAATTGGTTTCACATCCTCCCTATTCTTCCTGCATCTTAAAAATTCTTCGAAAGCATAAGCTTGATCAACTAACCAACAATCTTCAAGTTTTAACTTGCTTAAATTAGGCATTTCAACACGTTTTAGAATATTAAAGAGTTCAGGCTCATCCGTGTACATGTTAGCACATCGCAAATATATACATTCCAATTCTTGACATATATTTAACAAAACTTCTAATTCTTCATAATCATCTTCATCAATCCAAATCGTGAGAATTTTGAGTTTTGGACAATATCCACTTAAAACTGGTAAGATGTATCCCGGATCATCTATACCATCTGGACACCATCCGCTCATATGAAGTTTTTGAAAGTTTCCATTAGTACCAATGATTAATGATTCAAGTATATCCGATCGAACCGGATCTCCATCTATTATGAGAGTTACAAGATTTGGTAATTTAGCCTTTTTCAAATATTCAGCAGTTTCTTCAGAGATTTCAGATGAAAGTCCAAATCTAAGATAACATAAGTAGGTGAAATCTGGAATGACTATTAATGGTATACAACTTTGTTTTCCCAGATCAAGTTTTAATAAAGAATGTGCCTGTGATTTCAAAGCATTGCCAAGTAATTGACAACATTGTTCTTCACCGCCATTAATAAGTTTGCATTCAAAATATTTCATTTCTTTTTGAACTCGGATTAAGGAATTTACACCATCATGATCTCTATCACAAAATTCTACAGTGAGATCTTCGATATTGCGACAAATTTGAGCTAATCCATAAAAAATTGTTGGTGAAATATATGAACTACACTTAAACGTAGTGAGAAATGTCAAAGAATTCGTTACTCCAGGAAAATATTGCAATGAATGTTCACCAGACATAAGTTCAAGTTGGCGAATTCTTGTACTTTTTTTCAAAAAATAACTTATATATTTCTTGTGTAATAAGGAATACTCTAAAATTAAATGAGGGATGACTTATATATCTTTTATTTATTCCACTCCAAATGAGCATTGAAACGTCTGATGTACAAATACATCGACAATAATTTGCATAATCAAAAATTGGTTGTCGAAGGATTTCATTACTTAATTCATAACCATTTTGAGATAAAAGGTTTTTTGATTCATTTGGAAGACAAGTTAATAAAGTCCTGAGTAAACAAATTGATTCTTTCCTAACACAAAACATTAAACTGTGACTACCCTTCACCATAATGGGTATTTGATTTTTTCCATTTTCATATTGATTTTTTAATGGATTTCTCCATAAAATGGGAACAACAGCTTCACACCAGAATTTATTCACTTGAAGAAAATTGAATAACGCAGCATATTCATCTTTAAAATGTTCGAATATAACAGAAAGAATATCTGGTGGAAATTGTGGTGCCATGAGAAAATAGAGTAAAAAGGTATTAAACAAAAACCGTATTTATCTTGAATTATAATAATTATAATCATCATATTATTTCTCGAAACTTTTATGCTTAAACTGACGCAAATACTTTTTTTTTTTTTTTATTCTTTAAACTTTAATTATTCTTTAAACTTTTAATTATTTCAATTTGTCATTATACATCTTCCTATATGTTCACGTGAATTTAGTCTTGAATATACTCTTTCATTATCTTATTATTGATTTTTAAAGATATTTATGTTCAAATGATGTAAAAACAGCTTTAAAATATATTCAATTCTTATTTGTTGATAAATTAAGTACAGCAAGGTAAAGAAAAATGTGAAAATTTTATAAATTTATTTATTGCTAATCAGAGAATTTTTTTACATTTCTTTTATTTTAACTTAATTTATTCATTATCATCATTTAGATCTTTAAAAATTTAAAATCGAATATCTTGAATTCTTTTTTATGCGTGAACACCTTTTACGTATAAATGTGAAGGTAATTTTATAAGATTTGTGTTTTATATATTGGGAACAAAAAATTGTGAACGTCAATCATATTAATTGTACAACACACGCATTTTTAATTCAAAAATTTATTTGAACCAAAAATTTCTCACTAATACTAATTTAAACTTATTTTTTTCTTTCATAAAAAAATCATTAACAGTACAGTTAAAGAAAGGATATTATAATTTAAAATTATCTAAGAATTGTTAAAATAATATAAAACATTTATTTGTTAAATAATATATGCAACATCACTAAAATAATAATAAAAAAAACTATCATAAAGAAATCTACATTTTAAATGGAAAATCCGATAAAAAAACCTGTCGCCATTATATCATCCGAACGAGATAATGTTGATAAACTTGCTAAAGAAAATAAAACTCTTAAACAAAAAGTTGATGTTTTAGAAAAAGAAAATATGTTACTTAAAAAATCTATTTATGATCTTTCTGTAAAATATGCGGAAGCATCTCATCATCAAAGGGTTAGACCATTTGTTATTGATTTCGAAGAATCTCCTGTGCAGGATGGTGGAAAAGAAATTAACTTGGATAATTCATCTGGTGCGTAGAATGTGGATTATTATTATTATTTAGATTTATAAGTTAATTAGATAATAATAATAATAATAATAATAATAATAATAATAATAATAATATATATATATATATATATATATATATATATAAAAATAATGATTTTAAATTATTTGTATTTATTATTATAATCATAATTGTGAAAGAATGTAAGTTTAAAGCAAATTAATTAATTTAATGTAGGAAATGAAAAAATTCGGGAAGGAAGAACTTTCCATCCAAAATCTGAATTCAAGGTTTGAATAGAAAACATGTAATCATCGGTTATATCAATTATTATTAGATCTAATATTTTCGTAATGTGTTGATTTATAAATAATTCTCAGGGCCATAATGGTGCAGTTTATGCAATTAATTTCTCACCATGTGGTAAAATGCTTGCTTCTGGTTCATTTGACAAAACAGTTAGAATATGGGATGCGATATCTTTACAAAAAGAGGTGAAATTATAATGTCGGATGCAAGAGTTCGCTGTGAATTATTCACAGCTGGCTTACAATCTTATGGAATATTTATAAATTATAGCAAGCTTGTTTAAAAGGGCATACTCTTAATGTATCAGACGTGTGCTGGTCAAATGATTCTACCGCTGTGTTGTCTGGAGCTTATGATAAGACATGTAAATTATGGGACATAGAAACAAATAGATATACTCATTCTTTTGAAAGCGAAGGATTTGTTCAATGTGTAATGTTTAATCCACAAGGTAAATAAATTATTTTAAATCATTTTCTTTAGGAAAAAAAAAATTTTTTTATTAAATATTTATCAAAAAATAACAATTATAACTCAAATCTTCCTCTTAGATAATAATTTATTTGTTTATGGAACTTCTCGCAAAAATTTGTCAATAATTGATATACGGAAACCCGACAATGCATTAAACCTGAAAAGCGATGGGATGATAAACTCACTCTATGTCTGTCACGATGGTCAAAATGTTGTTACCGGTGATTCTTTTGGATTCGTAAAAACATGGGACATTAGAGCTGGTAAGAGAAATGTTGAATAATAAATTTTTGAAATCGTTAGAAATCTTGGATATTATTATATTATTATTCATTATTGCAGGGTTTGCATTCCAATCATTTCTTAATGAACCAACAAAAAAGCCCATATCACATGTGGCATTTGTAAAGAAAAGCCCTGGTGAGTTTTTCAGTTTTTCTCAAAAAAAAATTTTTTTTTTTAATTTTTCGGTTGCAAGTTAAATTAATCTTTAATTTCTTTAATTATTTCTTTAATTAATAATTAGATGACGAGGAAGAACCTCGGTATATGGCTGTTAATAGTTATGATAATGGTATGCATTATTTTTATTAATGAATATTTAAGAAAAATATTCAAATCTAAATTTAAGAAAAATATTCAAATCTAAATTTAAGAAAAATATTCAAATCTAAATGTATATGTTTTATTCTTTAATATCAAGTAATAAGGATGTATGATCGCGGGATTGAACCTTTCAAAACAAAACCACGACTAATACACGTTTTGAAAGGTTATAAAAACAAGGGTTGGCCTATCAAGAGCTCATTTTTTCTCGGAAAAGAATGTAATATTTTGTTAAATATTCAAATATTTATACAGAAGCTTCTTGTTGTGTATGTAAGCGTAAAGGTTATTCATAATATTTGTATATTTCATATATGCATAGATAAATACTCTACAGTGCAAAGATCAACTCAGAATAATAATATTTATGATGGAGAAGAATCACAAAATAGTTCCACGGGTGATGTCGCGTATGTTTTATTAAAAAAAAAAAATTTTTTTTTTGCACAGAATCCAAACTCTACAAATTTATGTTAATAACTTTGATGAAAATTTGACAGATATGAAAAAGACAAACCATTAGAAGCAAGTCTCTTGTTGGCAACAGGCAGCGCTGATCCATATGCATATATATTCAATGTTGGAGGCCCTGAAGTAGATATTTTTTATAATTTATAAAAACTCTATCTAAGAATAGATTTGACACGTTTTTAACTAAAGACTTATTTAAATCAGGGAACGGGTGAATTATTGCAACGTTTAGAAGGACATACCGATTTTGTTTATGCAGTTGATTTTCATCCCACAGAACCTGTATTAGCAACTTGTTCAGCAGATAATACGATAAAGGTTTGGGCTCCTAATACTAGAGGTAAAAAAGAAAAAATAATTAATTTTGGATAAACGATAATTTGCTATTAAACAAAATAAAATTTGTTTGTTGGTGCAATAGATTCTAAACATTTTTATTAATTAGATTTAGATTCTAGATTTTATTTATTTGTTTGTTTGTCGATTTTTTTATTAATAAAGATTGCTTTTTATAATTAAAAATGATATGAATATGTATATATGTATTATATGCTATTAACACTTTAGTGCATATATATTTATATGTTATTAACACTTTAATGCATATATTTTAGATATTTATAAGAATGTTGCTTTTAATTCTTTAAATTTCATTTATAATGAGAGATTAATTGCGTAAAATATTATTTATTATATTATATATATATAAATCATTATAGATATTAATTATTTATTAAATACAAAAATAAATGAAAATAAAAATAGAAATCCTAAATTTCATATATAAATAATATGGTATCCAAATTCCCGTTAATATTGTTATATTTACTACACAATTATTTATTTTACATCATAACTGGCAATAAAACTGAAAGAATTTTCCTTATTTTGATATACCAAATTCCATACACCTTTATAATTTAATAGAACATCACATGCCATAGTGAATGCACCAAATTCATTACGTTTCTCATAAATTTGTCTTAATGGTTCTTTTTTCTCAAATCCTGGACTTACAATTGAAATATCTGGCAAATTATCTTCTTGACCAAATACAATTATTTCAAATCTTACTTTCTTTGTATAAGCTAATGAAGCAACAATAGGTTTAATAATTGAACATGAAAAAGGTGTAGAAAATGTTTGCATAAATTTTTTATATTTAGCTCCAGTGCCTGGGTTTTTGACTAACAAAGATGCGATTTGTTGCCCCTGTATTTATAATAATTTAATTTATGAAATTGTGATTAATAAATAATGTCATAATTGAAATAATAATAAAAATAACAATTTACCGAATTTTCTCCAGGGTTGAAATAAAAAATACTTAATTCTCCTGTTCCACGAGTTGGGCATCCAATTCTTATTCTATTTATTAAACCACCTTTAGGTCCAGGTTTAGACAATCGTTGAGTAATTGTGTCTATTTTTTGACCATTCCAATCCAAATGTGCAGTAATTTTATCTCCCATATTAATATTCACTTGCTCTATATCTAAAATTATATTATCATCAACTGCTACAATTTCACAACCAAAATAAAGTATAAAAGAAAGTCCTGCTTCGAAAAATTCTGGTCTATAACGTGGCTGATTAATAAATTCTGGTCGAGTTATTGGTGGTTGTAAATATTGATATTTTGTTTTTTCTGGGTAATGCGTATATATTAATTTAAGTGGTGAACACATAAAATAAAATGGTCGAAAAACTCTCTTAAATTGATTATTATTAACGACTCCTGCTCCCCACGTACAATCAAACAATAAATATTCTCCTTCATAAATTGTTCCATTCCATGCGTGTGAATAATCATTTATTCCCGCATCCCCAACTCGATATCCCGCACCTTTCAAGGAAATTTGAAAATCAAATTAATTATGATATTATGGAAATTTTTGGAAATTCGGAAATTATATTAATTTACCTTTCGCATTTCCGGTAATCTTCCAGACATTTAAACCTGCTTCACAAGACAAATCATTAAACAATTCGCTATATCCAGAGCAAACAGCTTTTCTAGTCCTTAAGACATCTTTTCCTGTGCTAAACTTTGAAGCACCTAAATAAAAAATAGATAAAAAAATATAAAAAGATCATAATTCTATCAAAAAAATAATTTATAACGTATACTATGTTTAATAAATATTTAATAAATATTACAGAAAAAAAAAATTACCTGAACAATCATATGAAATATTATGAGCGATCCAGGCGAAAATTGCACGTAATTTATAAAGGTCATAATCCCAAACTGATGTTAAATAATATGATAACTTTTCAATAGAGCTAGTCTCTGATGCGGGTGTTTCCCAAGCATATTCATCAATCGAAGTAAAGTCGTACTCTGCATTTACAAAAATGATTTTTAATTTTCGATTACCAAAAATGAAAGTTTCAATATAAATTGGTTATCCATAAAATTCATACCCGAACAATCAAAGTGTTGTTGAAACCCTTCACCAACTATAGGTAAGCAACGACTGAATTTAAATAAACAAATTTTTAAACAATATATTTAGAGTAATTTTTTAAAAAAAAAACGTAATAATAATATATGTATCTTTTTTGTCTCATACCTTACAGGGTCGGGATAATCATCGATATTTTCATAAAATGTTTCACTATCAAGTGTAGCGCTAAGTGATTTCGCAGAACTATTAATACTTTCATTACTTTTAACCGAATTACTAGATGTCCTTTTTTGAGGACTTCCTACAGATTGAGAATTTTGTCGGGCTGAACGAGGACTACTTTGTCTTGGTTCATCATCTACACCCGTCATTGTACCACGACGTGGAGGTAGTGGTGGTGGTGTAAAATTATCATCCTTGGCGTAATTTTCTTCATTATAATCTAAAGGTTCTTCGGCAACAATAGAATTTTGTCTTGGCGGAAGTGGTGGTGGTTTTCTTTTCTCATTTGTTTTATGATTTCCTCGATTTTCAATAGAAGCAGCAGCAATGTTTTGCAATTTTTGAAATGATTTATTTAATTCATCTTCATTTTTACTAGCAAACTTTTTAAATTTATTAAGATTATTTTTATTAATTACTGAATCAATTTGAGATGCTTGAGATCGGTTATCATCATCTTGGTTCTGGTTCTTTCGTATATTCGAATAACAAACCACCTCTTGAAAATTCTTCACATTCTTCTGTGTGATTAATGAAGATGATTTATTACCATTTTGATTGTCATCATAATTATTAACGAACTTGCTCGCGATTTTAATATTTTTTGGGGTGATTAACGGAGATGATTTATTATTTTTTTGATTGCCATCATAATTATTAAATAAGTTGCCGAAGGTTTTGACATTACTCTGCGTGATGAATGAAGATGGTTTACGTTTATTATCATGTTCCTGATTTTTATCATAATTATTAATGATCTTGCTAGCATTTTTAATATTTTTCTGTGTGATTATTGAAGTTGGTTTAGGTTTATTATTATCTTCTTTATCTTTATCTTCTTCCAAATTCAATCGATTCAATTGATTTGAAATTGAATTCTCAAGTGAAGATGATGATTTATTATTATTGTTATTAAGGTTAATATTGGGTTTGGGAAAAAGTTTTGGCGGTGGTTTATTTTTTATTGGTAAAGAATTGTCATTATTACTTTGTTCAAAATTATTTAGTAATTCAGCGAATCGAGAATTCTTAGCAGCCATGGTTCAAATAATCAAAATCATCAAATAAATTATTTAAAAAAATAAATGAATTTTTTAAAAAAGGATAGAGAATGAAAAATTAAACGAGAAAAATGATTCAAACACTAAAAATATATATAACTGCCTAATTTTATTGTAACTCAAACCCAATTAGGCTAGCCAAATGAAGGTTTCCATAAAAAAACTGAACGGCAGATTGTTCAAATCGATCCGAAAAACATCTCGAAATTACAATTATGTTATTTCAATAATTAAATTGGTAAAGATATGCATCAAATAAATTCTTTATAGTGTACTTCTGATTTGCATATATATGTATTGTTTTGTATTACTAATTTAGAAATAATTATCTTTTTTTAATTCTGTTACAAAAACTTCATTAAACCATTTTAATAATTTGTTTGCTATACTTGAACTCTTCAGTAGCTTTTTTCAAAATTTCCAGAATTCTATGTTGATCCTTATCAATATCATCTTTTCCCCATGAATTTTCTTCATAAACTGCTGTTTCAAGTTTACCTTGTTTAATAAGATTAATTATTTCATTTAACATTTCTAATCTCTTTTCTTTAGAATTGATCTTATTCCACTTTGAAATCCAAAATCCAACATACTTTAAATCTTTAAATATTAATTGAGAAGCTGGAATAGTGAGTGGTTGGCGTGACATTCCACCATAGGTTACTATTAAACTTGAATCTCTGTAAAACAAAACATCATAATGAAATGAATTAAAAAATTTTAGAACAAATTATAAAACAAATAAAAGAATAATATAAACAATTATATATAAAATAATATGAATACCTAAGAAGTTTTGTCATATAAGTTGCATTTTTCCCTCCAACACAGTTTAACCCTAAAACAATTCCTTTATCTTCAATGGCCTTATACCATTCAAATTCATCTTTTTTTTTTTTTTGAATATCTTTATCACTAACTACATATGTTGCTCCAAGTGATTTAAGATGATTTGTCAACTCTTGAAGATTGGGTCTGTAAAAAGTCATTTTAAGAAATAAATTTATTTGTATGAAAATTGCTTTCATCAAAAAAAAAGATAATTTCACTACCTTTCTCTAATAATATTAATTGTATTGATATTCCATGCCTTTGCCATCTGAATCACAAATTGACCAACACCACTATTTGCTCCATTTTGAATAACAAAATCTCCTGTGGACATAAATAATAATATGTAAAAAAAAAATGAAACAATAATGACAATAATAACAATGGATAATAATAAATAATAATAGATCTATAAAACTAACCTTCTTTCAAATTTACAAAATCTTTCAACATACGATAAGCAGTACAAGGATTGACACTTAAAGTAGCAGCCTGAATTAAATTGATTCCTTCATGTGGAATTCGAAGTACTTCATCAGGCTTTGCTTCAGCATATGTTCTCCAAGTTCCTTATAATTCATTTTTTTTAAAAAAAAAAAATTAAAATTATTCTATATAGTTCTATATATGTATCTATATAAATTTAGAACTTACCAAATGCATTTTTATTCATAATTACCCAATCTCCAACTTTAATATCTTTAATATTCTCTCCAACAGCAATTACTTCTGCTACACCTTCATTCCCTCCTACAGCAACTTTTTGATCATCTTCAAAAGTTTTATCTCCTAAACTACTCCTAAATAAGGGTTTTATAGGATATATCCCTTCAATTTGATTAATATCTGAAGGATTAATTGGTGCCGCGAGAAATTTTAAGTGTAAAGTTGAAGGTGTCAAAGATGATAACTTATAGGTCATTACTCTAATAAATATTAATGCATATTAAAAGATATTAATGTATATTAATAGATATTAATGAATATTAATAGATATTAATAATATATTTTAATTAATTTTAAATCATAATTTTAAAGAATTCACCTTAAAACTTCTTGGGGAATTCCATGCTTATTAAAAACTGCTGCTTTTGCAATAGGTTCAATATATGATGATAACCATCTTTTTGATTTCATAATATTAAACAATAAAGAAGATTTGGGTTTCAACGATAAAAACTTGAAACCAGGAGTCCCAGTTATTTTAATCATTTTTATGGTTGAAAAAAATTAAAAGATTCTACGATCTGATTTACAGTTTATATCTCCTTTATATACAAAATTTATAAAATATATAATAATTTTACTCTTAAAGCGAAAATATAAACGTGAAAACAAAAATAACAAAAAGATAAGTTTTCCTTTTTTTATAATTTAAATAATAAGTAAACATTTTTAATTTTAGAAAAATTGAATTATTTTTGTACAGTACGAACAAATAAAATATTTTTAGAAATAATATTTTTTATAATAAAACTTGAATTATTTTTTTATATAAGAACTTAAAATTTTGAATTGCACAATATAATTACATTACAAAACATTTTTAAATTAATGATAATTTAAAATTTCTAATTATAAAATTAAGAAATGAAGAAAGTAAAATTCTCTTCCTTTGTATTCATACTTTATAACTTGAATCACGTTAAGCCTCTTCAGCATCACTGTCTCCACTTTCAATTCCTCCATCATCAATCAACATTCTATTATCTGCCCTTCTAATTGGCCTTCCTCCAAACATTTCTTCATCATCAAACATATCATAATCAAAATTTTCTCCACTTCCCATTCCTTCATCTCCAATCAAACTTAAGACTACCGGCAATAATAATAAACCATGTAAAGCTCCAACTACCACTATCGACACATACATTCTGAAATAATATACTTCGAATATTTTACTTCTTGTAAAAGCTAATACTAATATACCGAAAAACTTGGTCATGGTAATTCCGGAGAATACTGAACTACCAACATCCACTATTGCTCTATGAGCTCTTTCATCTCTATTAACTCCTTCTCCCCCAACTATAAATGCTCTAACTATATGTACACAAAATTCTACACCTATTCCTACACATATTACAAGATTTACCATACTAACTGCATTAAGGGATACATTCCATAATGCCATAATTCCCAAAACATCTATTACAATCATTATAACATGACATACAACTATAAATCCGGTCCAAAAAGTTCCTAAAAGTAAAGATGTTACTATCCAAATCGATATAAATGCTAATATTAATATTTCAGCAGCCAATCGTACAATATGTTCATATTGATCAAAAAATATATAAAATATTGAATAAGGAAATACTTCCATATCGGGATTTTCTTTTTGAATTAAATTACTAATACGTTTTGCTGAATGTTGGGCAGCTATATAATCATGTTGACTTTTTAATGGAGTATGGAATGTTCTAAAATGACTAGCTATTATTGTTTTATTGTCTTCTGGTGAAATATATATGGCATCACCAAATGCTGCCTTTCCTGCTAATGGACATTCCTCATTTGGCGGTGATTGAATCCATAAATTCATGTATCGTAAAAATTCATCTCCTTGGGGAAGTCCTGTCATCGTGATATTCCATTTCGGATCATGATCTTTATAACATATTTCACATTCATTTTCATTATCATCAATATCACACAATTCATTTCGTCCGGAATTTTTCTTAAACCGACAGCACATTTCAAGTGATGGATTTAACCAATGTAAGAAATCATCAATCCATACCGCGGTAGGTTCTGCAATATAAGAAACTTTTGATCGTTTTCGTTCTTGTTCTAGAATATTAGCTAATGATAATTGTGAACATGCACCAAATCTTCCACATAGGGCTTTTTGTCCTTGACGTGTTGTGACATTAACATTTTTAGAAACGAAATATACTGGTGGACCAACTAGGAAATAATCATCCAAATCGTTAAAATAATCTACTAGATAAGAATCGCTGGGAAGTGCAATTCGTTGATCTAATTTAATGATAATAATATTAAAATTCTTAACTTCATCTATTAATTTCGTGGAGAAAAAAAGAAAAAAAAAAAAAGGAAAGAAAAACTCACCTAATCCTAATTTCACTTGAGGAACAAAACATAATCCAACCATAAAAACTCCAACAAATAATATTATTATTGCTATCTTGACATTATGATTTAATATTAATGGTGCATAATATTTTCGCATCCATTTTTGTAATAGACTCTCCCTATCTACCCGATCAGGAGCAGCATCCACTTTTACACAGGGGAAGCAATCTATTCTGTCATCATCTTGCCTTTTAGCATCTAGAGATAAGAATGCCACAAATACTGTAACTTGTAATAAAAAATCTATCCAAACTGCTAGTGCTGCATAAAGAGCAAAATTTCTTACAGCGGGCATCGTAACTATACCACCCAACCCGAAAGCAATAGTTTCACTTAATGCACTTAATAAAATGCTAGGTCCCATACGTCCCAAGGTTTTTGCGATACGTACTTCCACCGATTCATTACCCAATGATTTTAATGTTAATCTCTCAAATTCATGATTAAGAATGAAAATGTTATCCACACCAACAGCGAGTACAAGGAAAGGAATAACTTCAGCAATAATCAGAGTAACCTTTATTCCTAAAAATGAAAATATTCCTACTGAAGTTGAAACTGATGCCAAGACAATAGCTATCCCACAAATTCCCAACATGAACTTCGAGTCAATGATTGTACGTGGAAAAGTAGTTAAATTACCCAGAGCCAAAGATGCGTAAAGGAACATTACAAGATACGAAATGGATATAGTTAAGATATCAGTATTAGTGGATTTGTTAAGCTCGATCTCTAGAGAACTCTGTATTAATAAAATAAATAAATAACATATATATATATAATATTGCATATAAGAAATTATATTAATAAAATTCTAAAAAATTTTGAATTCATAAAAATGAATAATGTTGCTGACCTCAGTTGAGAAACTTATTCTAAGTTGAGTCGTGTTTAGATAATCATTAATAATTGTAAAGTTAGATAGGTATTCTCTTAATGATTTTTCCCATTCTTCAGCCAAAACGATCTTACTTTTATCTAAATAATTATTTAATACAAAAGTCAACACGAACGCTTTTGAAGATAAATAATCATTATCCTCGAAACCACCAAGAACCAATTCAGGTTTTAAAGGTTGTTGGAAATCAGGTAAACAAATCGAGGGCATAGCTGTACAAGCTTCAAAATCATTTTTCCATGTATCAGGATCGAGATTATCAATATCAGATTGCCAATAACCAGCTACTGATTGTACTATACATTCATCACCATTGGGATGAAAACATAAATCTTGTAAAGTTAAAGTATTTGGCGAAGACTTAAGTTCTCGAATATGTCGTTCTATCTCAAATAGTGTTTTAAGATTATCATATGATACAATACTTTTTGTTGGATCTTTATTAGTAATAAAAATTTGTTGAGTTCGATAAAATGGTCCAAAACTTTGATCAAAAAATTCTTTTTGAAGTGCAGAATCCGAATTTGGAGCTACCCAAAGATGAACGGGATCAGTTTCTACTTCAAAAAATGTCCAACCCGTTGAAGCCAAAAATACAAATAAAGCTGCTAAAAATAATGTATGCCAAGGATATTTTGCACATATGAATCCTTGTTGATAAAAATAATCTTGAAGAAGATCATTAAGCCAATAACGTCGTGAATTTTCGGGATTTAATAATTCATCTTCTCTCACTTCAAAAAGAGGGACTCTTTCAAATCCAGGATATTCCGATTTTCGTATGTTTTTAATCCAAAATACTATTATAACAGAAATGATTAAGAAAGCATAAATAATAATTATTCCAAATGTCCAACAATTTAATGATCCTACATAACATGAAGGATATTCTTCTGGAGCTGGTTTAAGATTAGGACATACAGATTGACAATCCACGCAAGAACAACGATAATTGATGTCTGTATCATTACATTTTTTCACTCGATCATTTAAAGGAATCATTGCGTCAGATGAATCATCCAGTGGAAAATTAATCTGAAATGGTGATCCCATCGGTCTTTCTGTACCCAAATAAACTAACATTTCTTGATAGTTTTTAGCCCCACCTCCAATAAAGTCCATTACGTAACTATTCGTTGCAGCAAATTTAATATCCTTACAAGAATCATAAAATCCTTTTCCGTGCTCTTCACCAACAAAGAAATCTACACTCGTAACAATAGTTTTGTTGGATTGAGTTACTTGAGTAGATGTTACATTTACAAACATTGATTGATTAGGAGAACATGTAAAAGTACAGAAAAAATTAAGAAAATTTTTCCAACAAGCGGGGCATGAACTAACTAATGTTTCGACTTGTTTAGTATTGATATCCAGATCTTCCAATTGATTTGCAGCACAACATGTTTTGGAGTTTTCGAATTGTGGTCCACAAACTTCAATTAGTTTTAATCTTAAGTCACCATCTGGCTAATATAATATTTTAATTAAAAAAAAAGAAAAAGAAATATAAAAATTATTAAAATTATTAGTGGTTGTGATTTTCACAGTTTCACAAGGGTTTGACTTTTAAAACCTTAATACCTTAATACCTTTAAAGTAACACGAGAATAATAAGAATAAAAGTATATATAATATTAATAATATTATGACTTTACCTCGATAGCTGGTCCATTATAGGGACAATTTAATTGTTTTCCAAAGACCGATTTTTGACCGCATTGATCATGCATTACACAATAACCTTCTTGGTGAATTTCGGACGCAAAACTAGTAACTGTGGTTAATATGAACCATAATACTAGACCACCTAGACCACCCACCGTCAACGGAAACGAAAATAACTTCATTAAACAAGAAATTTTTTATTAGATAATCAATTATGTTGAAGATAAAGTTTGTAAATTAAATTTTTATTTTTTGGGCTAAAAATTAAATATTCTGTAGATTGTATTACGTCACTGTTACCTTTAAATAAATATTACGTAATCGAAGAATTAACGTCTCGAAAGTCGCCATGTGATTACAATTATGATTGGATATGTGCAAAATCTGTTAACGTGTACCGGGCGTAGCCTTCTGCCCTCCCTCATTGGTCCATAGCCTTGCAGGTTATCATAAAATTCACGTGCAATTTTCATGTGACAAATGTTAAAATAGATCTATGGTTATTTTTTTAAGAGAAAACTTAAACTAGACCCCAGGGTTTAGGTCATTTATTCTAGATCCCAGGGTTTAGGTCATTTTGTCTAGACCCTTTCTTAATTTATAAATATCAAAGTTAAATTTTAGTTGTACAACCCA